TTTTTAAAAATTTCAAGCATATAGGATTTGGATGTGTCGACTAGCATACATTGCATTAGAAATACATTTAAGAGAGTCTAACTTTTAATTGCATTAGTATTTAGTATTTTTACCCAACATAAATCAAAAGAGCCACTTAGGACAATCTCTAAATATCGACCCAGCTCTCCAAAACTTTAATAAAAAAATATCCATACAACTCTTTTATAAAAATAACCAGACTCATGTATTTAAAATCAATTAGGTGGTTAGCTGACTCCCCAATCCAGGTCAGGGTAAGTCCATATTTTTGTACTATATTAGCTAGGTTCGAACTACTGTGGATCAGAGTCCAAATTTAGATTTAAGATCTCGGGCAGATCTTGGATTATATTAACCCAATCTCCAGAAATATAATCCCAAATTTTTAACAAAATATTCAACTTTAACTAAATCTTCTTTTAATCTAAAATGTAAAGCTCAATATTTAGATTAAGTTAGGACACTTTCGGATGGTTCTAGAATCTCAAAGTATCCCCTGCCATTCTTCCTTTGAATCCGTTAATAAGTGCTCAATCTTGATCAATTCCCTTTTTGAAATTCCAAAATTCACTTACTTTGATATCACTCATAGATAATCTTTAACAAAATTTCACCATTATTTTAATTGAGAGTTTTTTGTATGAGACTTTGTCTTCCTACGGTGTAATTAACTACGAGGGCTTGCACTCATAGAAGATTTAGAATCACACACACCTGATTTTCAAAATTTAATTGGATTTGTTTGGAAAAATTAAAAAATATTAACGACCATTATCATCACCCATTCATTCAAAGAATTAACATCGAATGATATTTTCTCCCTTTGGGGGATATACCTTTTGTTGATAAAGCTTTGGATATGGACTTAATTATCATCCTTCTTGATTATCGTAGATGAATATTTAGTTGAACGTCATTTTGGTCCTTCGGAGCCATACAAAATTCTCTTTTAAATCTAGCACAATATTCAAGATGAGATTCACAATTCTAAATCTGAATCTCATCCTGAAATTTTATTTGCACCTTCTAAGGTGGTATACTTTTTCTAATGGGATATTCGATTTTATAATTAGAATTCAACTTGAATTTTAAAATTTCCAAAGAAAACTAAGTTTCTTTAAAAACCTGTTTTTAAAATTCTACCAACACTATGTAGTAAATTAAGCCAACTATTGACTTAGTTTTATACATAAAATGAAAATAACCTCAATCTATGACATCATTAAAAACCTTATTATAATTGAATGTATTAAATAACTCTAAAAAGTTAGTGATAACATAATTTGAGTCTACTGTAGCCAACCCACAAAACTAAGAGCTCTGCATGCATAGTTAACAAATTTATTGAATGTTGTTTATTTAACACAAAGAGAGTTTTGATCATACTACATGATGACCAATCAATTATCATTCATGAAGCATGGGATAAAAATACTCAGCAATAAGAATGAAATACAAAAAATACATATGATTGCATTAAATAAAAATCATAGAAATACTATCGATTGCATCTAACCCCTAGAGGGAATTTAACTATGGATGCTTGACCTAATTTTTATTCAAGTGTGACTTGTTAGTTTCAACTCAGGCTGAATCCGAGCCAAAAATTAATTTATTTTTCAATGTCTAAGACATTTTCAGTCATGCATATCAAATATAAATAAAAATATAAATGCATGCATAAATCTATATTTTATTTATTTATTTTTGTACTAGTAAGTTTGGTTCATTAATGAGCTCATTGATTTTAATCCTAATCAACATTTCATTTGTTTTATTTAGGGCTGTCAATATTTGACACAACCCAAAAATCTGACTTGAACTCGACCCTAAACTTTTGGGTTAGGGTCAACCCATTTATCATACGAGTCAGGTTTGGATTCAACAAATTAACCCGTTTCAAAAATCAGGTCGGATTTGAGTTGACCCAAAAACCCAAACTTAACCCAAACTAACCCAGTTTCCATCCCACGCCACATAATAACCCCATCTCGTCACTTTGAGCTGCACTCACGCTGGACCCTACCTCGCCCGTGCTCAGCGCTTATGCTCTCCTACCTCCCCCGGGCTCGAGCTCGCCTACCTCCCTCGGGCTCGAGCTTTCCTACCTCCCCTATGCATGAGTTTTTCTACCTATCGCGCGCTGGTGCTCACCTGCCTAGGTCACTTGGCTACCTAGCCCCCAGCTGCCTCTCCCGTGACTCACCTGCCTTGCCTGCATAGTCACACTCATACTTGCACCCTATCCTGGCTCACCCACACTCGTGCTCGCACCTTACTAGCGCTCGCGCTCTCTCACATCTTGGTCAACCGTGTCGGGTCAAGTTGACTTGGGTTTTTGGCAAGTCGGGTCTGGGTTGGGATTTCTGATCCATTTAAAAAAAAATGAGTCAGGTTCGAGCCGTGTTAAACATCATTAGGTCAATATTGGGTTCGACCCAAACCTAACATGCAACCCATTATTGACACCCCTAGTTTTGTTCTAAGAGATTAGTTAAAATCCTCTCTTTTCACAACTTAATTATTATATGGTTGTCTTCATATTTTATCTTTTCCCTCTTATAGATTCAACTTTCATCATCTACTATACTTGCAAAAATAATGATCAAAATACGAACATAATATATTATGTTATTGAAATAATACTTATTAGAACTATGAAAATATTCATTGTTATTGAATTTTAATAAAATTTTATTTTATTTTTATTATTTTTTTAAATATATAAAAATTTTACTTTAAATCCAAATATGTCATCTCTTAGAAACATATTACTTAGTAAAATTTGTTGTGAATGACATTGGTTCTAATAAAGTTTGAATCCAGTTCAAATCATTCTTGAACAAGGTTCGAATCTTGTACAATTTAAATAGTACTTTATTCAAATATAACATTGTTTATCTCACCGTAGATACAACTTAGTGAAATCAAATAATTTTAGCACAACATATTGTAAGATTGATACATCACAATGCAGTCATAATAGTTATAATATAATATATTTTGATGTTGAAAAAAAGAGAGCATTCCAATAGTTATAACATCATAACATAGTACAATCAAATGACTATTAGTCTATTACATAGCAGAGAGTAGTACAACACCTATAACACAAAATAATTCAATCCAATAACTATAAAATATAGAACTGAATACAAATTATCAATCTAAGATGTTTACAACAACATCACATAATTAAATGAATGAAAATAAAAATTACATAATAATTCTATCTTACGTAATAATTCTATCTTTTTCTTAATGGACCTATATATCTACATTATTGTGAAATAAATCTATACATAGGAAGTTCATGCAGAACTGTAAATGATCATATGTAATTTTTAGAAGATTTATCTTTGAAGTCAAGTGGATAATATGTTATATCACATATACTCCATAGTCTCCACTGCAAATAGAAAATAGAGCATTTATCAGAATATATGAGAAACTGTTATATAAATTTTTTTAAAAAATTCAAATAGCTAACCTTATGAAAGACTTGGGAATCTCATTATGTGCTGGCACTTCACCACTATCTTCTTCTCCTTCTCCTTCTCTTCCTCATGCCCAACCTCAACAAAATGAATGGATAAATCAGTTGCAAAGACCTCTGAGCTCTCCTTCTTAGTATTCCTCCCTTCTCATTGTATAAAATTCAAGATCAAATTGCTCAAAGCATCCAATTTCTCCTTCAAGCACAATTGAGTATTCTCCTATCGAAGTTGATTGTTCATCAACTCTTGTGTATCAAAAATAAGTTGCTGGAACTCTTTAGAAGGCATGGAATGGTCGATAAATGATTGTTCTTCAGCTAACTTCTCTTCTATGTGAACATCACACTCTCTTCTAGAACATGTGGTGGTTACTCCCTTCTTCTGCACCCTAACTGGGATGTGATGAAGAGTATCAACAATGGACTTATAGAAGTCCTCTTTATCAAACTTTATGAACTAGCATTGGCTTCACAATTACCTACAGAGAATAATTTAAAGAAACTTGATAGTTAATTTATAAAAATAGTTTAAAGAAGATTAAATAAACATCAAAAAGAGAGCAAGAGTTAGTTGGGTATACTTAGGCTTCATTTGGGACAGTTTTTTGCCATTGCTTTTTTGTTGCTTTTATTAAATTTTTGTACTAAAAAGCTGCTTTAGAAAGCAGTAAGAAAGTTGTTGCAAATGAAGCCTTAGTTAAAATACAGAGTGAAGTTTTGATGCCTTCACAAAGTTCTACTAAGATATAAATGTTTAATGTTATGATTCTTTTAAAGTCTTCCAATCATTTTTTATGTACTAGCTATTTTTATCTTTCAAGGAACATTCTCTTACTATCTACTCTAAATCTTGTTCTTGCAACAAAGAAAAATAATCTTAAGAATTAAAAGGTAAAGTTTTTTTGATATAATCTCATTGATGCATACACAAAAAAATGAATAAATAAGGCTTTATTTGTGATGACTTTCTTATTGCTTTGTAACGTTGTTTTTTAGTACATAAATCTCTTAAAATAGTGGTCTAAAGCTGTCCCAAACAAAGCCTAAATAAATAGAACATCTATAGAAGGATAAAATCTCAAAATAATTCCCCGACTATTCATACATAACCAATTTAATCCTAGATATCAAAATTTTCTAATTTAGTCATTTTAATAAGTAAATTTATGTCATATAATTACTCATAAACTAAGATTTTGTTTGGAATAGTTTTCTTACTGCTTTTTAAAGTAGCTTTCTAGTACAAAATTTTATTTAGCTAAAAATTTTTGTACTAGAAATCTGCATTATAAAACAACAAAAAAAATGTTCCAGACGAAGCCTAAATTGGATCAATTTTGTTCAGTCGACGAATAAATTGAGATCAATTTTATAGTCAATGAACTAAATTGATAAAACATGATCTGTAACTAAATTGGCCATATAGAGAAACACTTTGAACATGTTTAGAAAATAAGTGGAAGGAACGGTAATGTCACCTTGTTTATATGAGTGTAAATTGAAGCTTTGGCCTGTATGGCCCACGTTCAACTACCTTCACATGAATCCTAACCATCTGCAATAAACAGTAACTAATATTTGTGCCTTTCTTTGACAGTCTCTGATGTGCCTCATCTAAAATCCACTCTTCCCCTTTACTTCCTCTCGATGTCAAGCAAATGAGCCCTTCAATGTCAAACCTGGAAGGCATAGAACATTGAACACTGAACAACATTTTCATGCACATTTGAATGATCCAAACTCTTATAAATTATCACATATATTAGATAATTAGAAAGGAATATTGAACACTGAATATACATGAACAAATGATTCTCAAGATTTTAGTCAAAATAAATAAGAAAAGAGTTTACATGGGAAATGATGGCTGTTAAGTAGTTGTTTGGTTGAATTTTAAATGGGTTTAAAGTAATATTCTGAATGCAGCAGATGTTTTGAAAATTTTGATGTTCGGCTAGATGAAAAAAGAATGCAAAATAAAGTAAATGTAATGTAAATCATTCTAGCTCTTTTTTTTAGTAAATCAAACTCGTCCAATTTTGAATGAGAATGATTTACACCACAAGGAAGCTCACTTGATCGCCAGCAGCCTCCACCCTCCTCCAGCCACCACCATCACCACAGTCGTCCACCATTGTCTAGTGTTAGTTAATACCTTCTTTTACTCCCCTTTCCAGATTAAACCATCATCTCATATTGGCACCATTATAATCCTTAGTGATACACTATTGGGTTCAATTTTTCACTTCTTCATTAGATGACTTAACAATTTGAACTTTCGAGCATTCAAATTAGCAAAGAACGCAAAATATATCAAATGATAAAGCATCTTATAATTTTTTTCTCATATTGATGCTTAATAATCCTCCATTATTATGTCCCAAAAAAAATTGGTAAAAGGAATTTAGAATTTTCTTCATTTCACATGCCACTTTTTACTTTAACATACTTTCTTTATAGCCAGACAATAAATCTATTCAAGATTACTATACATCTTAAAAATTAAGTGGAACTCACCACTCGAAAATAAAATGATGAGTTTCTTGGTGTGAAGTTCCTTTATGGACACCATTCATCTTTACAATATATTCAACCCCAATTAATGGCCAACTTTATTATCCCCAATATCTCTATTGCTCTCTTTTCAATGTATCAAGCTTTCAACTATATCTTCTTCTAGTCTTGACCACATTTATCTCTTAATAAATTAATTAAGAGATAAAATAGAGAATTCTTTCATATTAGATCTCAGGGTCCCAGAAGCTCTGTTATCGTTGCTTGGTTGAAAAAATAATTTAGTTTTCACTATATATAATATTTTATATGCTGTTAGTGTAATAAGTTAACATAAACAAAATCCAAAAAAGAAGCATTAGATTGTAATCTTAAGGATTATAAGATATATTAAGAAATCTCCGTGGGAATTTCCAGCATATGAGAAACACAACCACTTACATGTTAAAGCCTACTTGATCTGAAGCTAATGCTGACTATGATGGATCGGTTGAAGATTGAATGTTTACTTTTGAATAGATCTAGCATTGAAGTAAGATACAGAACAATTATATAGTATATATGCCTATGAAATAAGGCAGATTAAAAAAAAATTATTGAAGGATTGGTATTTTTCGTTACTTAACCTATGATTTTAAAGTGTGGTAAGCATGAAATCATCCATATTGATAGTTACCCAATGTTTCATAAAGAATAAAACATTTTGATGCAAACTATCACATTTCTTACATACATTACTTCATTAAATTTGAGTTACATCCTCTTAACCTGGCTTTTTATCTTGCATTTTAACAAAAATATTGAAGCCCTAAGTCCCAACTCTCTCTGATCTCCACTCATTTCATCTATCTCTGATCTCCACTCATTTCATCAATATTTCTTTGTCACTCTTCATTTATCTCAATAAAGACCAAATTGCCTCATTTTGTTTGTCTTTATTTGTTTGTGTCAATTAGCCTTTGGACTAACAAAATAAAAAAAATGATTGTGGACTTAATATTTTAGAACTTATTTCATTTTTTCTCATCTATAGTTTTTATTGAAAATATAAATTCATGGGGCATAAAATGTCTCAAATTATAAAATGTTATTATACATGAAGTAAATGACTATTAGGGTACGTGTGTTTAAATTTTGTACGAAAGATAAAAAAAAAAAAGATGGTGTATGAAGGAAAATAAATATACCTGGGCACAAAGACTATGAACCCATAGGGCTTTATTTTGATTATTCTGGCTTCTGCATCCATAGGTCTATAACAAAAGATAAAGCAAAGATTAAAGAACAATATATAATATAAGGTTGCCTTCTTTATAAGTTAATGTAATATTACCGTTTCTTGAAGTATATAACATTGTGTAGGTAAATTGAAGCTCGGCTAGCCATCTTAGCATTTATTTGCTGAAAATTCAAGTCTGGATGTACATTTAACCCTAATTTAGAAATTAAATAATAATAAAAAAATAAATGGAATTTTAAATTCTTACTATTTACAATCTCTGTACGCCGTAAACTATCTAGAAAATTTTCTGGAAGTTCTGATATTTCTAGAGCAGCTGCAAGCAATCTATGAACTATAATATCTACAAAAAAAAAAAAAAAAAAAAAATCTTAGCTCAGCCACATTTTAAATGTTAAATCTTGTGTTTTTTTTTATTAATGATAGTAACATAGATGTTTGAACTTTTGAAATTGATAGAAATCTTTAGAGCTTGTGAAGTTGATGTATAATAAGACCCTATCAAAATCATTAGATAATTTTGGATTTGAATGCAGATGATTTTTACATAAATAACCATCGTAAGATTTATATTGAAGATACACATATTCTTCAAAAAATATTTGGTCATTATGTAAAAATTAAAAGCAATAAAATGAGGCAAAACAGGTATGTCTTGCCAATTATGTACAATTTTTACAAAATTGATATGCATGCTAAATATTACTAATGAATCGACACTAATAATATGATCATGCATGATCTAATAATTTTACACAATATTCCAACCTATCATAATTCATTTTCTACTAATAAATATCACTAAGTAATACAAAACATGTTGAACTATATAATCAAATAAGTCATAATGTCATATAATCCACCCGCAAATAAGCTATATCCAAGATACTACCAAATTTGATGAAAATATGAAAACAAATTCATAATTATTTCAAAGTGAATAATGAAAATTTTGTAACTTTGTAGGAAAATGTTTATGAGGTATCTTCTAGTAATAATCAATGCAACCTACACACATCAACTTTATTGATTTTAAAATCTTGGTACTTGATGAAAGAAAATCATCACTTCAAGCCAATATTTAGATACATTGACCATACAAAAATAGTTTTAAAACCAATTATATAGAAAGAAGAATTGAGTTGATGCCAATTTGATGATGATTTCTTAATGTTCTCCCTTGATCCTTTGAATTCCTTCTATTTATTTTAGTCACTTTAGACATGCGAGAATTAAAGAAATCTGAACTTCAAAGAAGAAATAAGAGATTAGGGCACAATTATTATAATAAACAAGATGAAATAGAGAATGGGAGGGGACCTACCAACTAGAAAAAAGAAAGAAAAGCATAGAATGGAGAAGAGAGAGAATATCGAGGAGAGAATCCTTCAAAGAAATTTATTCATAAGTCACCAATTCAATTGCAAGCTATAAAACCCTTGGAGTGAATTCTTAACAACGTAGTCATCTTGAAGTTTTAGTGAATCACCTTCTTCTTAGGGATGATTTGATAACTTTAATTTCCAAGTTGTAAAATAATGCTCATCGCTTAGCTCTAATGACCACATTTTAGCTATCATTGTGTCAGCTTATATACATTTGCTAAACCCTTGTGATGGGAAAATTAACAATAGATAACCAACTAACCTGCATATCTCCGCATGGGAGAAGTGAAATGAGTATACAAAGGTGCTGCAAGTCCAAAGTGGTGAAACTCAGTAGGCTTCATATCTCCACTCCATGAGTAAATAACCTGTATGCATTTCAAAAAAATATAATTAGATGTTGCAATATGAACACCTTTTATATTTCTAGATTCAGTTATGCACCTTTGTCATGCACCTAGTAGCCAAAATCTTCATTTGTTTTTTGCAGTTTGGATCAACACCCTGCAACAAGTTTTTTATCATCAACTAAATTCAGTTCAGTGTAGAAGGGTAAGCATAAAATGCAGTCATGAAGCATAATAATACAAGTAAACAAGATGAAATGCATCAAAAATAATTAAGAATCATTGGGAGTAATCCTTACAACGACATGATCAATTGAATCCATCAATGCTTTTGGTGATGAAATGTCCAAGTCAAGGCCAACAGCTGTTGCCATGCGATGTAATGGTTCCAACATCTCTTTGGTTGGAGCAGGTTGGTGTCTACATGCACATTACAAGTCACATTAATTTATATATTATTACGAGCATCTCTTTGGTTGGAGCAGGTTGGTCCATTCACTCCTTAAATAGAGATCAAACTAGTCCTTCCATGAGATTATTTAGGTTCCTATTTAAAAAGTTAATGGATTAAAATAAAACATTTAAACAATCAAGATTATTTTGGTCATTCATTAGAGTAGGGAACCTTTTTTATCATTATCTTTATAAATTCTAATAAGAATGTTCAAACAACTTGATAACATTAAAATATTATTAGCTAGTTCAATATCAATTTTTCATTTATAATAGTTTTCAAATTACTGAAGTATATCATCTTTTGCGGTATGTTACCAAAACAAAGTTTCCCAACAAAGAGCATACCCTACAATAGAAACATTAGCCCAGACAAATTACTTGATTTTCATTTTGAATAAAAAATGACCAAATAAATGTTCATTAAAGGCAAGATCAGATTAACTAAGGCTTCATGGTGGATTGTTTTTTTACTACTTCATAAAATAGTTTTTAGTAATGTTTCGTTTGGAATGGCTTTCTTACAGTAATAAAGCCGTCCCAAAAGAATGATAAAAGTTGTTTTAAGAAGCAGTAAGAAAATCATCCCAAAGAAAGCCTAGATTGTAAAATGAGTATATGAGGCTAGAGGAGATTGGATCCATTGGCACACCTCAATAAGGAACACGATGGAAAATGCTTCAATATCTTTTTTGCAACAAAGAAATTGCAAGCCAACATAAATTCTTCAATCATCTGACTGGCCTCTATAATTGGATAATTTCCTGCCAAAAAGAATTAAATCTAAGCTCAAATTTGAAGTAAATAGTAATATTTAGTTAGTGCTTCTAATAAAAAATTGCATACCAATATCCAAAGGATCACGAGTTTCTGTATCCATCTGAAATTTAACTTCTGTTGAATTAAATGTGAAAGCTCCTCCATCAAATCGTCGTTGCCTCATAAGCTATGTTTTTGATAATAAATATATATCAAAGAAAAATCTTAATTGTCATCTTGAAATCTAAAAACTAGTAGAAATAAAAACGGAGTCAAAGAAGCTGAGCTTACCTTTGCTAATGAATTCAAATTTCGTAGGTCAGTAATTAATGGATCAATCTTGCGACTATCAGAAAACACAAAAAAATATATATATTAACACCACAAAAATTAAGCATATTGTGGCAAAACATAGACCAGAAAATTAAAATACTAAAAGTCTTCAACTTTGCAGTCCTTCCTTTGTGATTTAGAACTAGAAATAAGTAAAAATATTAAAGAAAATATACACAATAAAAAGATCTCAAAGAAAATAGTCATTATCATGCTCATCAGTGCAAATAAGGTCCTAAGTTGTATAACTAGCAAACCAAAAGAGACATGAAAATGCACCTATCGTCCATTAGGGCTTGAGCTTCGACATAAGATAATGCAGCACAAGATTTGATCGTGCTCTTTGTGAATCTTGTAGAAACTATATTTGCATCAGGTGTCAATGTCTGCAATTCATAAAAAATTAATCAAATATCTATAAACACTACAACAGCTGATACTTCCAACTCAAAGTAGTTTAGACTATTATAAAAGAAGTAAGAAATGTATACCAAAATAAAGGAAAATGTGAATCTTTCTACACAGGGCTGAAGAGAACATATGCCTGTAAAAAATGGAAGGTAAAAATTGGTGGAAAATTATATCTTCTTGTTGCAATACTTGGATGGTAAAAATGATAGAATTATATCACTTAAGATGGTTTTATTATATAAAAAAAAATCACTCTAAAGTATAAATTGAGGACCTTCCCAATAAGAATTATATAGATACCTTCAATTAATATTTTTGGAAGCATGTCAATTTTCTTATCAACAAGATACACACATGTGCCCCTCTGCGCAGCCTCCTTGTCAAGTGGAGTTCCAGGATGAACAAAATTTGTTACATCGGCAATATCTGATAGAATATGATTAAGGGTAGACAAGGTGGTAATCAATATGAACTTGTCTACGCTCACTAGGGACTTTTGGTTTCATCTTATTTGATGTAATTTCTTGTCATCTTAACAACAATAAAAAGGTATGTTATCTGGCAAACTGTGGTAAGAAAACATTGCTAGGTTAGATTCTAGTAAGCATTAGTGGGGTGCTGGAATACTAACGTATGATATAAAAAACGTAAGTTTGTATACTAAGGCTTCGTTAGGGACGAATTTCTTACTGCTTCTTAAAACAATTTTTTAGTACAAAAATTTTTAATTTTTGTTTTTGAAAGTAGCTTTAAGAAGCAGTAAAAAGTCATCTCAAACAGAGTCTAAACCTATCAAATGTCATATGAATATGATATTTCATCTTTCAGGGATTAACCACACTAATATTACACTAATTAACCTTAAACAAATATGTAAAATAAACATAGTGATTTTTTTTTAGTATTCATCTAGATTATTCCATTAGCCATACGGATTGAGAAACTTTTGAGGATTTATTCTTTTAAATAAAAAAATTAAGTCTATAGAATAGCATAAATTGCAATGTTGGTGTTTTAAAAAAATGCACAAAGGCTATTGCAGTAGGATTAGAAAATAGGTTTTTATGCAAAATAAAAATTTTAATTGATGCGAAAAATCTTGTCGTTAAATGTATCAATCTGAACACCTAAAATTTTCACTAATATCCGACCATATATCATCAAGGAAAACCATCCTACAAATAAGGCAATATATCAAACATCTTTTCCATAAAATTATAGGATGAATGAAGCTCAAAATTTAGAACTATATTAATCCAATAATAGCTTTATAACTTAATTTAATTAAAATTAATAACTTTATAACTTTATAACTGTGCTCCTATATCAAATATGCTTGATTCTTTGATTTGGACTCATTTGGGCGAGGATTGAGTCCAATTTGGCGTCGTTGGGTTCACCTCTTCGAGACGTTCAATTCAATTGTAAGTTTGCTGAAATCGGATTTCAGATGATCTCTGATTTAATTTTTAAAATTTCAAACTTAATTTATCCTCGAGATTTGTGCCCGCTCAAGATAATTTTTTGATGATATAACACTAATTAAATGTATATTTATATTAAGTTATAAACTAATCAATTTATAAATTAATATAATTATTAATCAAAATTAATCACTTTATAACTTATAATTTTTAACTTTATCTAATTATAAATTAAAATTAATAATTTATAAGTTAATTTAAATAAAATCATAACTTTTTAAATATGTTTTATGTATGTTTCTCTCGACCCGCATCTCTCTCTCCCTCTTCGTGTGTCTCTCTCTCCAATCCGGCTTTCTCTCTGTACAACAAAGTGAGAAACACGCTGAAAATTTTGGCATTTTAAAAGAATATGCCAAAATATATGGCATTTTTCACGGAGAACGTCAAATAATTCGGCATATTCTTAATTAATTATGTTTTCTATATAAAACTTCAAATTATTTGACTTTTTTATTGTTTTTAAATTAATTAATAACTACGCTTTGTTTTTTTTTTAATTATGTATTAACTATGCTCATTTTTAAAATTCGTCCATCAATCTATTATTTAATAAACTTTGCTTCAACAAATTTTTAATATAATTGTTTTGCACTCAGTCCATTATATTTTTCTTTTCAACTTACCGGCGCCAATTTCTCTTTATAATACCAACGACACGGCCGAATGAGCGACTTGAAACAGCACAAGCTTTTGCTCCATCAACATTACCTGGAACAATATGAACGCCATCTTCATCATCTTCATCATCTTCATCATCTAAAAGCTGATAAATTATAAAGAAACGCACCATTAACATTCTCCTCCGTCTGCTGGCATTGAGGCAAAAGCTCCACCGCAACAATATCTCCATTGAAAGCCCTATTCATGTTAACTCTATCAAAAATGGCTATCTCTTCACCAATACTTTCGCTTCCAACATAGCCCACAAATGGGAAACTGTAACTATTAACTCTAAACGTTCCTTTATGGTAAAATCCATGGAGAAGGCCAGAAGTAATGTCTGAAGCAGATTTGTGCTGTGTTTAAGAAAGGAAATCCAGGCATATTAGCCATTTTCAGATTAAAGAATGAAATTAATCATTGATTATTGGAATATCATCATACCTCTGGGTAGATTATTTCCCGCTTTGATATTCTTAGATCCTTCATTTCTCCCTTTAAAAATTACTCGTTTCTGAAGAAAAGCCGCATTCAATGGCGTTTTTCGTATTCTATCTGTTGTTATCGGTAATTAGTAATATTTGATTAGTTCTGTGGGTGGCGAGTTCTCATTTTATAGAGCATTTGAACGGATAAATAAGGAATTTGTCCGTTAGAGACTAGTGGACCCCGCGAGCCATAGCGTCCAACATGATTTTATCTGCGGCCAATTTTTTTTTTAAATGCATTGTTTGGTAACGGTGAAGGATATTATGCGGCTGAGTTCTTTTGATGAACAGACGGTGGAACGTACGAAGCTCTTTGTTCTACCCTTCGTCTGTTATTAATACTTTTTTTTTCTTGTTTGACAAAATTGATTTGGATAAAAGAGAAGTGGAGGAAACGAGCTGTGCTAGTAGAAGTAGCGGCTACAAGGGGAAGCTCTCTCTCTGCTCCGGAAGAAGTGGAGGAAACGAGCAGTTGGAGGTCTCTGCGATCTCTGGAGGGATCTCTCTTGTCTGCGTTCTGGAGAAACTTGGGCGGCTCCGGTGGAATCTTGGAAGAACCTTTGTTGGGATCCATGACGGTAGAGGACCAAAGGTGGCTTTTTTGGTATTTAGATGGAGAAAGGATGAACATTTGATGAGTAGATTAGACTGTGTCAGGCGAGAATAGAAGAGGTGAAGGAGATAGAGGATGACCACTTTCACTACTGTTAATTTACTGTTCGGCGTTTAGAAAGGCTGAAGAAGGGAAGAAGAGGAAGCCATGAGTGATGGGTGTTGACTGCCAGCTCCGACCGTCTTCCCTCCTAGCCCGAGTTGGAGACAGACCTTGCTGTTTGCGAACAGGATTCTGGGATGGCATGACGTGTGGAAATCTCCCTAGTAACTTAAAAAGATTGAATAAATTTGATCGATCCAACATAAACATTCTATCATTAAAGTAACTTAAAGAAATTGATGAGTTACTCATCTCACTAGAAATTATATATATAAGATATTTTCTTTATCGATTGGAGGTAGCAAGAGATGTGCTATTTTCAAGTAAGTTTTTTTTATAAATAATATTATATTTTACATTTATATTTAAAAATATCTCATGGGGGTGGATTGAAGACAAGTTTTTCACTTTAAACATGTGGAAGGCACGCTTATAAGAAAGCCTTGATGGAAAGCTAGTGGTAGATATAATCCTCACTTGAAAGAAGTACGAGAGTAAGTGATTAATATGGTCTCTACTCATAAAAAAAACATTAGAAAGCTAAAAACCTCATAAGGTAGAGATTCATAAATAAATAAATAAAACTTATAAAGCATAAACTATTGAAGGTACAGGTTCTCTCTAAAAAAAAGACTAAAATCTTAGAAGATATAGGTTTTATAAGGCTTTTTCAACCCTGACTCGGAGGCTCCTTCGATCCCCTACTAAATCTCGTTCTTTTAAAGATGTCATGTCTGGTTCTATAGGTGATACCTTACATTCTCTTACTCAATCTACCTTTAATGGTGTGCCGGCTGTTTTGATCTCTGATGATGATGTTTTAAAGCTTGCTTCGCCATTTCGTTTCACCTTGGTTGGTAAATTTGGCATCCGTAGGCCAAACCTTGATGCGATTCGTGTTTTTTTCGATAATCTTAAGCTTTCGGATTTTTATTCGGTTTGCCTCTTAGATTTAAAACATGTTGCTATTCAACTATCCAATGATCTGGATTATAGTCGCGTTTTTGCTCGAAGATCTTATTTCATACTTAACTGTCAGATGCGTATTTTGAAATGGACGCCTTTCTTTGATGTCAAAGAAGAATCCCCGATTGTGCCCATTTGGATCTCTTTTTTGAATTTAAGACTTCATTTTTTCAATTCTAAAGTGCTGCATGCTCTTGGTGCGATTTTTGGACGCCCTTTACAAACGGACCAGGCTACTACTTCGAGAACACGACCCTCTGTTGCCCAGGTTTTAGTTGAGGTTGATATTACGAAGAAGCATGCTAAGGAAGTATGGGTTCTAAAGCCTTTGGTTATTTACAAAAAGTTGAATTTGAAAATGTACCTAATTTTTGCAATCACTATAAATCACATGGACACGCGATTTCTAAATGTTTTAAACTTCACCCGGAGCTCAAGAAGGTTTCCAACAACTCCACTGGAAAGGTGGAAATTGCGGTGGCTGCTAATGATGAAACAGAGAACTTGGATCTTTCAAATCCTGTGGCACGGGAACTGAACCTTTCCAATGTTGAGAAGATTGGAAATGTTTCTACTTGTGCTCCTGATAATTTTTTGTTAGTTGACAAACCCCTTAATAGTTCTCCCGAGAAAGATTTGATTATTGAGAATAAATCTGATGATAGTGAAACTATTCCTAATATTTTTATTTATGTTGATTCTATGCTTCATAATGATGCTTCACCGAATTTCTTTCTTAATCTTGAAAATTCTGAAAAGGGAAATGAGGACATGGATGAATGCGAAGAAGGGGAAATTATACCAAAAAAAAAATAGACGATTCCTGAGGAATTTATAGCTGATAAGGGAATTTTGGAATCTCAAATGAATGTTTCATCTCATACTTCCCTTCATAGTGCCTCAAAACCGATTGAGGAGGAGGGTTCTCCCAAGATAAATAAGAAAAAAAAAAGAAAAATGGCAAAGCACCTATACCGGAGACACCACGTTCCACCAGGGCTCAAGCTAATACCAAAAGTTCTAATGATTAAAGCCCTTATTTGGAATGTGAGAGGGATTGGGGGGTCGGATTCTAAAACTCGTGTCAGGAATTTAAGGTGTGTGCACAACATTCATTTGTTGGTTTTGCTTGAACCTTTTATATCTGCTGACAAAATTGTCTCTGCTGCCTCTAATTTGGGTTTTAATAGAAGTTTTGCTAATTGCTCTAACAAATTTGGATTTTGTGGAATAATCAACTCAATGTTAATGTTATTTCTGATTTACAACAAGTTATTCATGTCCAAATTTCTTTTAATAGCTTTAATTTTAATGCATCCATTGTCTATGCGGCTTCTACTAGAATGGGTAGAACTCCTCTTTGGGAGTGTCTATCGAATTTTGCTCAACACTCTACTGGTCCGCGGTGTGTAGGAGGGGATTTTAATATTATTTTGCATGCTGGAGAAAGGAGAGGGGGCAACCCTCATAATGTTAATGCTATGGGTGATTTTAATGATATGATTTCTAATTGTAACTTAAATGACATTGGTTTTTCTGGTAGTAGCTTTACTTGGAGTCAAGCAAAGATGGGCCAAATTTTAGATAAAAGCATACTATTTATTAAAATTAGTTTAAGGAGCATATTTTTAAAAAAATTAAAAAGAAGCAAATGAGCCAATTCATTTGGCGCATTGTGAAAAGTTGGAAAGAGAGAGGAGGAGAGAAAAGTTGGAGAGAGAAGGTACGGTATTGGAAGAATAATATAGAAGAGGGATGGGTGAAGTATTTTATATATATGTAAATATTATATAAATATTATTTTTAATATTAGCAATTTAATTTGTTAAATAATTATTTATAAAAATGTTTTTATTAAACTAAACAAGAATAAACAATATATTTTTAATTAATTTTTTCATTATATTTTCAACGTATTTTTATCAAATTTTTATTAGGATGAAATTTTCTGCGCCAAATGAATTGGCTCATTTGCTTCTTTTTAATTTTTTTTTTTAAATATGCTCCTTAAACTAATTTTAATAAATAGTATGCTTTTCTCTAAAATTTGGCAGCTAAGATGTGGCAAAGGCTTAATAGAATTTTGTTCAATAATGAATGGATTAGCAAATTTCAATTGACTCAAATTCTGCGCTTGAGTATAACCTTATCAGACCATACGCCTCTTCTTTTGAATATTTGTGGTAACAAAATGAAATCCTCTTTGACTTTTAGATTTCAAAATATGTGGATTAATCTCTCTGATTTTCTTAATGTAGTGTCTGCTAATTGGCATGCTAATGTTTTTCCCGATAACAATGTTCATGTTATGTATAGACTTTGGGCTAAGTTGAGCAGACTTAAACAACTTCTAAGATGGTGGAATAAGCATGTTTTCAAAAATATTTTTGATCATATTAAGGAAGCGGAAGAGAAGGTTTTGGTGTTTGACAATTTGTATCAAGAGCATCCCTCTGATACTAATCTTTCTAAACTTGATAATGCTAAATTTCATCTCTTCAAACTGCAAGAACAGGAAGAAATTTTTTGGAAACAAAAGGCTTCTTCTTCTATCCTTTTGGAAGGTGGTAGAAATACTGCTTTTTTCATGCTTTAGCTAATAAAAATAGAATTAAAAGTCATATTAACAGGTTGGTGGATAACCAAGGTGATGTTTATGATACGGATGATTCTATTGTTCTCTCTGGTAATGAGTTTTTTAAAGATATCTACAATATGAACAACATTTCTAGTCCTAGTCCTAACTCTAATGTGATTCCTAAGCTTGTGAATGATAATGATAATTTTTTGCTTACTCAACTTCCTATGGAAGAAGAGATTTGGAATACTATTCATGACATGAATGGGGAGTCGATGGCTGGGAACGATAATAGGGTCGACGCGGCTAGGAGGACAAGGCAGGAGATGGTAAGTTTAGGAGATGATAAGAAAAGGAGGATCAAGAAGTGGCCAGCACGGTGGAAAATACCCAATCGGGCGACGAGAAGGATTCGATGTGGAAGGGCGACGTCGACTTGGAGGGTATCGACGTAGGAGTTTTTTGGAGAAGCTAGAAGGTTGGGAAAAGAGAAAGAGAGGAAATGAGATGGGACAATGCGCTCAAACACCGCAGGGTCGATGCCTTCTACGCACAATGCATTTGACAAGAAAAGAATTATGAAGCTTCAACTACTTGATGATTTCCTTCCCATGAATGAACTGGAAGACGACGCTAGGCGGAATTTTTGACGGGACGTAAACGGAGTGGTAGAATTGAGAAAAAGAGAGGTTTAATGTGATATATTAGTAAATACAATATTTGAATGTTAAATATGTATTTTCAGTAGTTTCAAGTGTTATGTATGTAAAAATCCTTTTTTTCGCTTAAGAAGAAGAGGGAAAATACGAAGGTATATTAAATCTTCTTTGATAGTGTCATATACACCCTGCTCTTCGTTTAATTAGTATTTTAATCACTCACTTATCGCAATGTTTACTGGACTCCAATTGTTTACAATCTATTTTGTTAAAGAAAATCTGTATTTGCTTTTTCATGGTGGAATACTAATTGTAGGGGTGTCAATTCGGGTCAACGGGTCGGGTTCGAGTCGAACCCGGAATTGACCCAGCACTATTCTGATCAACCCGAACCCGACCAGTTTTTAAAAACGGGTTAGGTTTCTGGACCCGAACCCAACCCGATTCGGGTCCAGGTCAACCCGACCCGACACGAACGACCCGGGGTTGACCCAAAATTGCTAGTTTTCGGGTCAAAATAGGGTTTTCGGTTCAATCTCGGATTTTCAAGTCAAAAATGAGTTTTCGTGTCACTTTCGGGTTGTTGGATCAACCCGAACCGACCCGATTTTTAAAACGGGTTGATTAGTTGAACCCGAACCCGACCCGCGCGTTTCGGTTTCGGGTTGACCCGAACCGATATTTTTTAGGATTGGATTTAGGTCGTGTTTCGGGTCGTGTTAAAAATTGACACCACTAACCAATTGTAAGTAGCCGATTGTCTTTTGCCTTGATTTCATTTCCTCAATAATTTATTCCTGAGAGTTGATTTTATTCTATTGCAATAACTCCTCATTAGTCATGTGAGTCACATAAGCTACAGATTATATATTAATTATTCGTAGTTTCATCTTCACTATTCTTCACAACATTTCTTTTTCTTGAATGTTCTAGTCATGAATTCATTATTTAATTAGATATTTAAGTTAAAAAAAAAGATATTTTTACAATTTCAGATATGTTTAATTTTAATAATTAAAAAAAAATTATATAGTGTTATATATATACATATACATATATATATATATATATATATATATATTTTTAAAATAACAAGCTCCCCATTTGTAATCATAAATGACAGTTCATATGACATTAATAAAACTAAACAACTACTCTGTCTTTGTGGACTCCTCCTCAGCTTGAGCTACCTCTTTTCCACTCAACTGCTCCCTCATTTTGCACATTTCATCCAACAACTGATTTGTATTGCTCCTGTATCTGCATCTGTACCTGTGCTGGCAACTGAACTTTCCAATCAGCTTGTGATTTTCTTACTTGTTATAGCTCCGCTTGAAGGGCAGTTATCTGTTGACTATATAAATACTCATATGAACTGGCTGTGAAGCTGGATCCAAAGAGGTCATCCCCTTGTATGCCTGGGCTTGCGAACCTAAACCATAAACCATATCATGTTACATTCCTCCTACAGCTTGTGACCAGATGCGGTACTCAGAATACTCTACATAGCTGTCAGAAGAACCCTCACCTGCTATAGCCTAACTCTCTCGAAGTTGTGTATACTCTTCCCGTGAAAGTAGAATATAAATACTCCTCCTACGGCTTGCGACCAGATGCGGTTCTTGGCCTCCTGCGCAGTTTATCGTCAGATCTGTAGTAACTATCGAAGGCCACATGCCCACATCTTAGTGGAAGTTCAGGGCCCGAAAATTACTTTGTTTGTACTATTAATATCTTTACATACTCTAGTTATGATTTTCACTTTTCAACTTAGGATTATATGGATATTGAGTAGGGATTCATGTTTTCGTAGAAAATTAAGATTACTAAAAATTAAAATTAGACTTTTTTTTTACATTTATTATTTTATTTTTCAATTTCATGGTTTGAATAGAACATAACAAATTTGACAAATAAAGATCAAAGCTAGGATAAAATAATATCAAAATCTTGTGTAATAAACACTTTGCCTTCCTTGGAGAATTTTTTACCTTCTCATCTGAAATATGAAGTGATTGTTTATTTAGTTTCTTATAATGCTATATAAGTTTTCTGATAACTGCAAATACAATCATCTTTAATTTAGTGATTTAATATAAATTATTTTAAACTTAGCTGTACATTAGATAAATTAATTATTTAAAAATTTAGATCGACAAATGTGGCTTATTGAGCTGTATTAGCTCACAGTTATGTTAGGATATGATCTGAGTCTGTATAGGTATTTCTTTCTTTTAACTATTGCACAATCTTGGCTAGTTATTAATATGCTATGTTATATATTCTGGTATGTTATAGAAAAGATAGGGATAAGTGTTAAATGTATTATGGAATATTCACCTTAGCTATAGAAAAAATAATTTCCTATATTGCGTTATTGAAATTGTGATTATATGATAATGGGGGGTGCAAATGCAAAAACGGAGGCCCGGAGGTTGGAGCTAGTGAAATCTTGACAGTAACCCCTCCTTCGTTCTCTCCGCTCGACCTCACCAACTACGCAGACCTTTCCCTCTCTACAGAACAGAAAGATCAAGGACGGGAGAGAGAAAGCTTCAGCAAAAGGAAACCCCTTTCACATTCTTGTAGCTCAGATCCCTTGGTATCGAGTTTCAGCGATCCGAATCCTCATTTCTCATTTTTGTGGAAGATCTATAGTTGCAGCCATGAGTGGCGAAACTTTTCTCGGAATCCAGCCCGCGGAGCTCAAATTCTCATGTAAGATTTCACCTTCCATTTCCGATGCACAGTTCCATTGTCCTTCATACCCATTTTTTCCTATTCGTTTACTTCATGGATTCTTGTTCAAAATTGTGTTTGCCTAAGCCGTTAGATATTCATGTTCTATTCGAGTACATAGGGTTTGGTGGAAACGGCCGGGGTGCCCATTGATTCATCAGGAGACATCCGTGTTCTTCATTTAGGAATAATGATCAACTCACTCGTCTGGATTCAATTTGATCAGGGAAAAATGAATATTTGGCTGGTCTTTCAGATTTTTGTCCAGATTTCAAATTTTTTCGTTATGGTTATTTTTTATTTATGGGGAAAACATCATTAATTATAGTTCTTTTGGTGATTTGGGTGTTATAATATTCTCATTATTTCTCTGTGAAGTTCAATGCAACAAGCAGAGCTCCTGTACAATGCACCTTGCCAACAGGACGGATCAGTATGTTGCTTTCAAGGTAATCGATTTCAATACTCTTTGGCTTCGTTTTCTTACACTAATTATGTTCATAGCTTTGCTTTCTTGCCACCTGCCTTGTTTTCTTTTCAATTTAGATATCCGTCTGTTTTCTTATCTTTTTAAAGGTTAAAACTACCAATCCAAAGAAATATAGTGTGCGCCCAAATACAGGAATTGTTCTTCCAGGATCTACATGTGATGTGTTAGGTTAGTGATGAAGTGTTCTGACATTTGAGTTCTATATTTTAAGTGAATTATCATGCAAAATACTATAATTTTAATATATTTTTAACTATAATAGTTACAATGCAAGCTCAAAAGGAGGCTCCTCCTGACATGCAATGTAAGGATAAATTTCTTGTGCTGAGCGTTATTGCTGCCAGTGGAGCCACAATGAAGGATATAACATCTGAAATGGTACATCGCCATCTATGAGGTTCTTTGTTGTATGTATCTCCTTTATTATAAGTTGATTACTAATAGGCTTTGTTAAATTTGTAGTTTAATAAAGAACCTAATAAGGTTGTTGATGAGCTTAAGCTAAGGGTGGTTTATGTTCCTGGAAGCCCTCCTTCGCCAGTCCCTGAGGAAACAGAGGAAGGATCTTCCCCAAGGTCAATTGAATTAGAGAACGAAATTCGGAATTCATCAAACCCTGTTAGTGCTTGTCACCGTTTGTATAATTTACTACTAATATTAGCACTTCTTTCACCCTCTCTTTGCTTAGAAGTATATGTTCTTTTCCAATTTTTACTGGGTATTTTGGAATCTTTTTTAGACATCCAGATCCCATGATGAACCTCTCAAAGAAAACTCCTCTGAGGTAACCTTTCTTAATGAGATTATTTTGAGGTTTTCTATTTTTTAATTCTTATCACTTTACATTGAAGAAATATGACATTTCTTATTTATAGTTCATAGGTGCTCAACCTTTTTATTTTCACTCCAACGAACAATGAAATTTGTATGCATGAGAATTGTTCATGTTAAACACGATTCTTCACAAAGAGGAGGAATGTCTTTGTTGAAAACAATGGATATCAAAGAAAAATATCTATTGGTGATCTCTCAAAATACGAAGAAATGGCATATCTTCATGAATGTGATATGCCTTGGAAGTAAAAATAAAAACGAGCAAACAAGAGAAAACTTCAGGAATACCCAAAACAGTGGCAGCCTCTCCCACTTGAAGCTGGCCTACTAAAGTCAGAAAGTGCCGACATTGGTACACTGGCCATCGCTTTCTTCAGCTTCTCGAAAGCCTGCGTTGATGCCTCCCCCCACTTGAAACTATCCTTCTTCAACTGCTCAGTCAATGACTATGCTAACATGTCATACCCTCACACAAACTTTCGGTAGTACCCAGTGAGGCCTAAGAACCCTCTCAGCTCCCTCAGGGTCTTAATTAAAGGTCAATCCAACATAGCCTCAATCTTGGATTGGTATGCTGCTACTCTTGCTTTTCTCACCACATGTCTTAGGTACTCCACATATGGTTGTGCAAACTAACATTTCTTCAAGTTGGCATACAGCTGGTGCTCCTCAACATCTCTAGCATCGTCATAACAAAATATCAAAACAATTTTTTTGAGGTAGGGTTGAAAAACCCGATTCACGAGGGACTAAAAAGTGGTTGGGTTGTTGATAAGGCCGAAAGACCACCAAAAATTCGTAGTGACTCTCATGAGTCCTAAAAGTTGTCTTGTGCACATCCCCTGACTTCATTCTGATATGGTGGTACCCTGATTTTATGTCATTCTTTGAGAAGATGACCTCCCCCAAACAGTTCATCCAGCCGCTCGTCTATTTAGCTCAATTTCCTTGTTTAGGGCACTATAATCCACATAAAATCTCCAACTACGTCCCTTTTTAGTTTTTACTAGTAATACTGGGATGGAAAAGGAGCTCACAATGGGCCTGATAATCCTTGCCTTCAACATCTCTCTGATGAGCCTCTCTATCTCATCCTTCTGAATATGTGGGTACCGGTATGGTTGGACATTGATAGGAGAAGCTCTCTCCTTCAAGGTGATAGTGTGCTTGTGCTCCGGGGGACCGGGGGTGGTGGTAATATGCTAGGCTGCTGAAGGAAACTGTTGCAGAAGCTGATGTACGCACTCCCAGACCTTGTATACCTATGAATCTCGGATCTACTCCAAACTCTGCAGCTCTACCAAGTATGTCATGCTCCCTGTATCGCCTTGACCATGATTTTGAGTGAAACCATAGTTTTGCATAAGCTGACATCCTCTCGCAGCTCCACCTTCTTCCTCTCCACATGAATCTCCATGGTTAAGGACTTCCAATCCACCTTAGTCTTCCCGATCATCTGTAACCACCTCATCTCTAAGATCACATCGATGCTTCCCAAATCCAAGGGAAGAAAATCCTCCACTATATGTATACTCTCAAGTGTCATCACCAACCTCCTATAAATCCTCCTACTCCTCTTTATCTCTCTTGTTCCCATCATGACTCTAAAGCTCCTTGTATCCACCAACTTCAATCTCAACTGGTCCATGACCCAATTGGAGATGAAGTTATGAGTAGCCCCTCTATCCACCAAGATCACCACTAGATGCTCCCCGATTTGCCCTCTCACCTTCATGGTGTGATTTGGAGAAATCCCATCAGAATTCAGGGACACTTCAGCTATATTAAGGTGTAGGTGCTCTCTTCCTTCTTCTGCTTCCTCCTCCAGGTCCTCGTTATCAGTCTCTTCCTCCTCACAAACTAGAAAGACATGGAGCGTGCGATCCTTGCACCGATGGCTCGGTGCATATTTCCTATCACTACGAAAGCACAGATCTTTTGCTCTCTTATAGAAGTTGAGTTACTTATATAAGAGCCTCCCGCTACCTCGCTCTTATTGCTTCTCTCCATCTGCCTCTGATCCTCTGCTATATGTGTTAGTTCCATCAGCTTCTTCAACCCCTTTGGCCTCAGCAATCAAAGGTTCACTCTATGTCGGGCTTGAGGCCCTTTATTACACCCCATAATCTAATTTGGACTTGTCGGCGCAATAATCATTTCTGTATAACTCACAATTGTTGCTCTGAAATCATTTTATCATTGTATCGGATAACACGAAACCATAGTATTTAAAGGAAATCATGTTAGTCCACCATCATATACAAGTCAATCAGTCTCCAACCAACGGATAAAACAATCTTTACTTGTATTTCAGACATTCTAATAAAAGCAATATCAACCAACTATTACTCAATAACATTGTCATTTTTATTCTCAAAACTTTTATAATAATATGCTTAAATAGAATACTTACTGGGTCAAATGTACAGTCAAAATGCATAGTTTCAAAATATAACAAAATTATAAATGATTGTATAAAACATCATTTCAAAACTTTAATTGTATTAAAGCACTTTTTTAAAGATTTTTTTCTGTTCAATAAAAATCACACAAATTTTAAAATACCCGGTAGAAAATTTTCAGAAAATACTCAAAATGTTCATAATCTCGATCTCAATAACATATAAAAATGTACGATTTAAAGGTTTTACCAGTACAAAGTTATACGCATTTTTCGCTAGCAGAAATATAAATTTAACTAAGAAATTAAAAAAATATATATCGAATTTTTTAAAACAGAGATAGGTAAAATGACCTTGCTCAGAACAACTTTTCCAACTAGCCTGACGGCTAAAAATGGCCTGAAGCAGCTCAGAATGATTTATCTCTCTCTAAAACCTTCTCTTTCTCTCCCCTCTGTGGCTGGCTTGGCTCTTAAATGATTAGAAGAAATGGATTTTAAAATATACAAAAATTTTCATAATGGCCTAGCGCTACGGCGCTCAATCTGGGCGATGCGGCGCTCAAAAACCTATAGCAATCCGAGATTACGGTGCAACAATGTCACTTTCTGGCTCTTTGGTTGAGTGCAGTGCCGCGGAGCTCGAACATGCGATATTGGAGAGCTCCAAAAGTGACATTATCAAATTTTGCTGAATTTCACACGCAACACTTGGGATTCATTTTAGAGACCCAAGCATTTTAAAGCATTAAGACACTTCATAACACATGCAAATGGGTTCAAACCCAAAATTTCAAATTTTTACTATTTACCTTTTTCGAGTTACACCCTTCGTGAAATTTCCCTCCATGACCGCCTCTGAAATTCCCCTTAGCCATCCTGACAACAACTTGAATTTCTCCCTGTATTCCATGACGGTTCCCTCCTGAGTTGAGGCAAGGAATTGCTCGGAAACGTTCCAACAAGCAATTTTTAAACTCCTCCCACAAGAGGATCAGGCATATATCCTCCCTCCACTAGAGCCAAGCAAGGCTTTTCCCCTCTAGACATAGCCCTGCGGCTATAAGCTTCTTCTCCTCTCTCAAGTCATTTACCACAAAATAACTTTCCACCCGATATACCCATCCATGGGCATCCTCTTCTTCGAACACCAGCATCTTCTTCCTCACCTTCGCTTCTTCATCCCAACTTCCTCTCCCACCAATAGTTCCCCCCATTTCGAGGGTGGGCATCACGGCTTTCTTTCATCAGCCTCCCATGACCCGATCCCCATGGCTTGGCTAATCCACCCCATCTCCAATTGTCCACTCCCTTTGCCCAAACGGGCTCCCATAGTGTTCAATCACCCTACCACCTCCTCCATAAATCCCACCATAAAACTCTCTTTCTGCTGTCCCCACTTCTGAAACCCCCATTCCACCCCTTATTGGAGCCCTAGGAGATGGCTTTTGATGAAAGAAACTTTCCTGGTCGAACTCATCCCTCCAGATCTCTTTTCCCTTCGATTCAGCCACAGGAACCCCACTCAAATTGTGGTGAAGATTTGTAATATGAACTTCCAGTGGGGCTTGGGATTGCATCTCCATGAGCTTCTTTTTCATCTCTTCTATCCCTCTTAATCGGCTCTCCATCGAATTGTTCATAGTTTAAAACCTTGTCTCCATCCTGAAATTAATTTGATCCACTTCCTCTTCCAATGCATCCACCTTCTTTTTTGCAATCTCTCACAAAAATTTCGCTCTGATACCAATTTGATATGCGTTGGAAGTAAAAACAGCGAGCAAACAAGAGAAAAAATGCAGGAATACCCAAAACAGTGGCTGATTTTGTATTATTTCTTCAACACGAAAGCAAGATACAAGTTATGTTATAAGTCTTAAAATGTAAACATTTCCATAGTTTTTTGTTTGAGTAGAAGATTTTATTGTCTTGTTTCAATTGTATTTAAGGAAGTGTTTCCTCATTCAATAAGACAAAAATTCTTTTTATGAGAGGCTGGTGCCAATGAATTGCACAAATTAATTATATTAAAATACGTAAGCTTCATTTGGTTTTTTGCCGATACAGAACTTTCTTTGAAAATCAATTACTTCAACTTCACTCTTTTTTGGTGTGAAATGGAAATTATTGCGTTGAAGGGGGGTTCGTAGAGCTTAAGCAATGTTGATTTTTAATCATATCCAACTAAATTATGGATTTAGCAAATTTCAGTTCTTTTTAAATTTTTTTTATAACTTAAGATATCAATTCACCCCCTTAGAAAAAATAAATAATGTTCCAGAAATTGCTAAAACTTGTATTTGAATAGCTAAAGTCTTTATGGATACATTAGAGCATAGAAACAATTTCTACTAGAATGAGTAACATCAACAATAAAGGGGCTAGCAAATATACTGCCTGAATAAACAAATAGTAACACAAAGTTGATCCTGCTATTTTTTATCTTGTAGCTGTATGTTATTTATTTCCACTTGATTGGGTTTTACATGAAGTTAGAGAGATATTATAGTTTAACTATGATTAATTTGTAATTTAAATACTTAATTAGAATGACTTGCATGTTTTAAAAGTGTGGTAGAGATGGCTAAACATTGCCTTCAATAGGAAAGCACTTGTACTTCACATCAATTGATGTCTTCCCCGTGAATTCAACCCCTAATGAAGTAAGCTAGAAACAAATTAAGTTTTCTCAAGAAAATGACTCAAAAACGATGAATCATTACTCGTCATAGAACATTGTCCTGACACCGCTCAACAAACTTCAAAATCTAGGCTTGAGAGCCACTTTTCGAGGAATAGTACTATTTAGAATTAATTCATGCAATTTGAACTTGACGTCCACAACAAATTGGTTCGTTCGAGAAGTTTTGAGAGCATCATCGTCAAGATGATTCTATATTTAGCTCATCGATCTCTCAGTTAATGTTCTAGGCAAATTAATGTTGCAATGCAATGGGGCTAGAATTGTACTAGATAAACAAAGCTTCAACTGAATTCACTACAACTTTTTTGCTTCTTTTTGTTCTCTTGACTTTGGAAACAACTTTGGGGGTAGTAGTGGTCTTCTTCAAAGATGCAATCTTTGCAAGCATCTCCTCAAGCTTGCCCACCAGGATTGTTGTTCTTGGCTATTCTTCAGTCACTCTCTCCATTGAATCTATTGCCTTAGAATTCCCTCATCACAATACGAGTTTAGGAGGGGGTTCACCTTACTGACAAAATTTGTAGCTCCTAGTAGGGATGTGGATTGGTTGATTCAAATTGAAAAATTGAACCAAATCGACCATATTTGGTTTGTTTGATGGTTTGTTTGGTTCAGTTTATGAAGTCTCAGGATTTTTAGTTTTAGATTAAAGGTTGTATGGATTTCAGTTATTAGTTCAGTTTGAAAAACAAATATGGTTAAACTAAAAGGTTGGATTATTATTGAATGAATAGAAAATAATCCACTCCCCTTTTAAGTTTTAATTGGCCTTGGTCCTTATTTTAGTGACATCCATTTGCATTTTTCAAAATTCTGCTAAACCAAAACCATACCGAATAAACCAATTATATTGTGGTTTAGTTTGTTTTGGTACTATATATTATTTGGTTGGTTCAATTATATCTAAAATTTTGTTTGGTTTAATTGGTTTAACAAATTTGTCAACCAATTCAAACAAATCAATCGAATGCACACCCCTAAATCCTTGAGGCTAACTCACTACAATCATTGGCATGACTAATTTTTTTGGTGACTTCTACCTCTTCATTGATGACTTTTGCTTTGTTGAGAACTTCATCAACAAACTTCTTTGGAGTCAATTCCTCAAAAACTACAACTTTCTCCTTTCGTTGAGTGACTTCAGACATCTTTCCTTTGCCCAATACTGAAGTCTCTACAAAAGTTTGGAAATTTCTATCAACCAGATTTGGGAGGCTGGTTATATGTTTAGGGAATTTCAACCTACTCTGAGTAGTATTAGTCACAGTCTCATCAAAAAATTTGTTCAGCTTGGCTACCAAAGAAGATCCATAAGAGTTTTTTTTTTTTTTTTAAAGATCCATAGGAGTTGTTTACATTATTTATTGGCTTTTTTTTTAAATTGCCTTCTAAAGGTCTTCCATAGTTATAGGGGTAACAACTAATCTTCTAGTGAAAATTACCATCTCCATAACAACTTCTCTAGCAACGATCTCATTAGGCTTGAAGGTTCCTGCAATAACCTCCCTATTTTATCGAAGAATCTATTCTTAACCATCGTTTGTCTCCTCCACTAGTTTAGTCTCCTTTTCTTTTTAAAGGACCTTCAATAGAGGTAGATTTTTTTCATCACAACTCTACAAGCTACTGATTTTCTAAATTATTTCAATCATCTTTTGAAAGTTTTAGAAAGAAAAGCAATAGCTCTTTTTCATCATGAATAAACTCAAAAATTGCAGAAGCTAAAAAACGAACAAAGACAAATGATTGAAGAACCAGTAATGAAAACCTTTGCAATGAAAACCAAATCTCGAACTTTTAGGATTGAAATGCTGATGTTGCTGTCACTTATCAAGAGCTAGTACCATGTTGCATCAACAAACCAAATCACCTAAGATTATTTGAGTTATAGAATTTATTCTATGCTTCTTAGCTTTTCAGAAAAGACATGAATCAGCGAACTAATATGCGCCCATATTCGTCTGGTTCAAGTTGATCAAATCATTATAAGAGCTTGAATCTAGTTTAACTAGCCTACTTGCAGACCGGGTAGTTGCTCGGGAGACTAGACATGTTCTCTTTTTATAACACATGTAGTGAACTTGCCTTGGAGGATATATGAACTCGTCTATTCGCCAAGGCTATTTGCTCGTAGAACTTGATTTTTGCCTCAGAAAACTTGCTAAGCCGCCTAAGTATTCTCGTTACAGTGAACCTGTCAATGAAACTTTCCCTCACCTTGGAATTCACCATATGTTATTGTGTTGTTGACATTTGCATACCAAACTCATCTGCTACACAACTAGCTATAGAAAGTCTATTCGGTTATTTTTCTTATAATTTTGTCATGTAACTCTTCCTATAACATGACCTTAGCCCTCAGCTGTAAATAAGGTGTCAAATTTTGGGTATGTGGATGAAAAGTTTGTATTTTTTAGCCACCGAGATATCTTAGATCCTTTCATTATTTTATCTCTCAACCTAATCCGACAAACCCCCTATCTTTCTTTATCTTTAAAATGTTGATCAGATTTTAGGCTCACTCTTGAACTGTAGCAAGAGCTTAGTACTTTCGACAGACAATATTGAATTCAACAATAAGTGTAAATTTATTTGACAGTGCTGCCTTCCTGAAAACATTGCCGATTTTCTCATTAAATTGTATTATTTCCCTCTTTCCGCACTTCTTTCTGTATTCAATGGCCTTCCTAATGCTAATAGAATTCAATTTCAGTGGAGATCATGAATAACATTTTTTATTTATAGAGATTACATGGAATGTTCTAAAAATTTAAAGATTTATATGTTCTATCTTTACTGTCATTACGCATGGTTAATTGCAGTTTATGAACTAATATGACCCTGTTATTCCTTATGTTTAGGTATCGGCTATGATTTCAAAGTTAACTGAAGAGAAAACTTCTGCAGATCAGCAAAATCAGAAGTTTCGGCATGATTTGGTATTTTTTCCATTATTTTTTTTTCTAAGAGGGAACCCATACTCGTAGTTTTCTCAATTTTTGTCTGGTTCTTTTTTGCCATGCCTTTTGTTTTTTTGAGCTTCTGAGTAGTTTGCTAAGAAGTCTTCTATAGGACTTCAAAGGATGAAGATGCTTGGAATCGTGCTGCAAAATCAAAATTTACAGTTTATAGGCTATCAATTCAAAGAATTATTCTTCTCTTTTCAACAAATAAAAAAAATATGCAAATGATAATCTAACCTTCGATTAATAGAAATTTTATATAGAAATTCAAGACTAAAAAAGTATGTGTTGATTGGAAAGCACATTACAATCAAAACAATTAGATTGTGCAAGTTTTGACTAAATTCTATCATACAGACGATCAAATAACTAATATATAGAGCATAATAAAGTAAGAAAAGAAATTGCTAAAACTGCAACCCTTCTATTCAAGCATCTTGCTGGTATAAAGAGGCAGCTTCTCCTAAAAGAGGAAACAAAATATTCATTTGCACATCCCTAGAAAATATATTTACATATAAACAGCACTCATGCATAAAGAGGAAACAAAATATTCAAACAACTTTCAACAATTAGACTGACTAATCATAGAAGAACTGATAAAATAGCATGATAAAGTCGGCAGTCATGATCTAGTTGAAAATTCCATCAAGTTATGCATGAAACAACACATGATAAGGCTCAGATAAACCGCATAAATCAATCACAAGAATGTTCATGAAAACAGAAGATAGGATCTTGTGTACAATCATGTTGTAAGCCTTGAATCCATGAAACTGCTAAGCCACAAGCCACGGTTGGGTTTGGAGACCAAATTGTTGAAGTGAAAAGGAGCTTAAAGCTCTACAACATGCAGGCCTAAATCAGAAACAATTCTAACCAGGGACTGTTGGGGAGAAGAAAACCACGCAAAAGGAAAAAAAATAAGAAATAGAAAATTGCAGTGGAAAGAAAAAGAACACCAGGATTTAACGTGGAAAAACTCAAAGCTGGGAAAAAAACTACGGAGCCCCACCAAATTAAGAAATCTACTATGAAAATTGGAAGAAATAATACAAATCTCTCTTATCTCTTGCACCGTTCTTACACAAGAACAAACCAAGAGATACACACAAGGGATGCAACTATTAATGAAAAATTAGAAAGAAAATGTTTTGTCTGCCTCGCAGTGCTGCGGTGCTTAATTCTTTGTCTCCTGTATGTATGACACACAAGGGCCGGTCCAGTAGAAGCCAAAGCTGGACCGGCGGAACCTGGAGCAACCAGGGAAGTTTCGGTCCCCTATTATGGGGTCCAGTAAGGCTATCATTCAATATGTTAGGAGAAGGAATATGGAGGGAATTACTGAAGGAAAGAATTTTAATTTGGAATTGAAATAAGAGATAAATTAATTAAAAAAAGAGGCTGTTTTTATCAAAAAAATGTAGTGAGATTTTCAGTGTTTCATATCAAACTGTTTGAAACAAGTTATTCTTGTCAGCTTTGTGGTTCACAATTCTTTGCTTCTGATATAAAGTTAATAGTTTGAGCGAGACAAGACTGATAAAATGGATAATTACAATTGGGAAAATCCTGATCTGCAAATAAGCAAATCATTTTGAACATAATATCAAGTTTCTCAGTAGTTTAAATGACAGCAGATTAAGGTTGCAGATTAAATTCTATGTTACCTCTTTTATGCTTTTCTTCCATCAGTTTTTAGTCATGAAATTGATGCAATTATCGATTGAAAACTAGTTTTGTTGGTAAAGATATTGAAAGTTATTATTAAAGTCCTGGGCTCAAATTCCCTCTCTATTAAATTTTTAAATAAAATAAGATTGATGCAACTTTGGTTTCGTTTGAGACAGTTTTTTTACTGCTTTCTAGAACAACTTTATAGAGCAAAAATTTGTCTAAAGCAGCAGAAAAATAATGATCAAAAGTTATCCTAACGAAACCTTTATTGCTGCATGCTTCAATAAGTTCTGAATGATCTCTTTGCAAAATTTTTATGCAGGAAATGCTTAGGAAGGAGAGCAGCTTACACAAAGGTGGCTTCTCTATCACATTTATTGCCCTGATAGCTCTCTTCAGCTTCTTCATTGGGTTGTACACCAAAAAGCATTACAGTAACAACCCTTAATCCAAATTTGTGTTTCTGTCTACTTAAATTGTGTCAATATCTTCCCTCTCATATTTCTCAAAGAAAGATTCAGTTGTAACTCTGTTTCTACATTAAAATCTGAGAAAGATGATTATTGAAATGTTTGAATTTGTTTTATGATGAGTGTGATATAAGAACTGATTGATTGTTCATATTTACATTCATTGTAAAATAAATTCAATAATTTTAAAATAAAAATTTATCAGAATATGCCCAAATTTCCTCCTTTCACTCCTCTTGATTGCTAGATGAGATATTTGTTTTCTTTCCAGCTTTTTAGTGTGCCTTTTGCTCTCTATTTTGCATCTATCTCTGAAGAATCAATGATGTTCTTCTCTGTCACACTATAAATACATATTTATTGTCACTGCTTCTTTGTTATAATCAGTAATCACCTTAGCATTTTATTTTTTATATATTTTGTTTCTACTCAATTTGACTGTTAATAGAACTTTTTCTTAAATGTTCATAACAGTTTCTTGTTCTATTGTTCTTGTAAGGCAATTTTTTTTATCAATTATGTGGGGTTTGTTTGGGACTGTTTTATTACTATTTTGTTTTTCAAACTGCGATCATAAATTGATTTAGCTACTACTTTCTTATTATTTTCTTACTCTACATCAAAAATTTTTATGATAAAAAGCTGTTTTTTATAATCTAAGTTGTTTTACTCATAGCAGTTTTATATTCTATTTTATAAAGCATTAGTGGTGTCAAAATGGGTTGATGGGGCGAGTTCGGCTTTGATTTAAAACTAATCTGATATGAATCTAGTTAACACAAACTCAACCCGTTTAATAAACAGGTCAAAAACTCTAACCTAAACTAGACCCACTATCATCCCTGATGACCCGAACCTAATCGGTTAATCCATTTTGGTTATTTTTTTTTAATAATGTATTAACTATTCGGTTTAGGATTTTAGATAAAATAATAATAAGATTATACCCATAGGTAAAAAAAAGGGAAAATTTTATTAAACTAGTTATTTTTTGATTAAAAATGAATTTGTGAGTCAACTCGAATATGACCTGATTAATAAATAGGTCGAAAAATTCAAATCTAAAACCTTTTAGCGGAATTTGGATCGAGTTGATTAATTTGATCATTTATTAACATACCTAGAAGCAGTCCGAACAAGGAGAAATTATCATGATTTACGTATGTTCTTGAAGTCGCACCGTCATATGGGGGAGCGGACGATGGGATGATGCCGGGCGTCATCAATGCCGCGGGCATCGTCGCGAGCAAGATGACGTTGCGCGCGTGCGAGGCTGCAAGACGAAGAGATGACGTCGCGGGCGGTGCTGTTCCAGGACGACCGGACAGTGCAGGTCTCGCCTCGTCGCCATGGTCGGCGAGGTTGTCAGGGCTTCAATGAATTCTGAATGCAGCGAAGATGAACTAATAATTGGAAAGTTATAAAGTTTTCAAAGAATTGTTCTATATTTATTTTACTCTATATTTAATTTATAAAAAAAAATATTATATATTTATTTTACTTATAATAAAATATTTAAATTTTAAAATTATTACGTTTAGTTTACTCTGCACTATTAATGCTTGTTACCAAATTGCATCTTTTTTTGTTTTGTAGATTTTTTTTTTTTTTGACATTTTCAATTATGTAAAAAGAACTTTTTTATCTGGCTCTTTGCTTCTTTAGTTTTGGCTTTGTTTGGAATATTTTTTTATTGCTTTGATTTTCATACTGTAATTACTTGGCTACTTCTTTCTCGTTGTTTTCAAGACATTTTTATGCTGGAAAGTTGCTTTCTATAATAGTTTTAAAAAAAATTATTTTCTCCATAGCAACTTTACAATTCTTTTTATGAAAAGCTGCCACCATACAAATAAATTTTTAGATTGTTTCTAGAGTCTGTGGCTTCATTTGGGGTAGTTTTTTTTATTGTTTTCTAAATCAAAATTTTAATACAAAAAGTTTTCATTCAAAAAATTTTGTACTAAAAAGTTGTCTTAAAAAGCAATGAGAAAGTTGTCCTAAAAAAAATCTTAGGTTTCGTTTGGGACGGCCTTTTTAGTGCTTCTTAAAGCAGTTTTTTTTTAAAAAAAATTGATTTAAGAAGCGATAAGAAAGTTGTCCCAAGCAAAACCTTAGTTAATTAGGTAATGAAGAACTTAGAAATCATTGAATTGGTTCTTGTGGTGCACTAGTCCTATGCTATCATTGTTATATTATAGGAGATAGATCTTTGTGATATCCTTAGTGGCCAGCTTATTTAAAAAGAAATGCATAGATCATCCTCTTGATCTTCCTTTTAAGCACATAGAAAAACAAGTGCAAGGTGAGAACAAGCGAAATTAAGAGAAGAAGAAGAAAAGAAGGAATAGGAGGAGAACATTTTGGCCTAAAAATGTCGAAGTGCCAGAGAGAGAGAGAGAGAGAGAGAGAGAGAGAATCAAAAGATCCCCTCCTAATTTGTTGGATTTTAAATTTGTTTGAATGTTGAAACTCTTTATAATTGAATTGAAGTGATTTGAGGAAGTTTTACCTAATTTTATTGATAGTGATAATTAGATTTGTACTATTTTATTTATTATAATTAGGTTAGACTAATCTTGTTTTTGGTGTATTTTTACATAATAAAGGTATGTGTGAGATTTGATTAGAGGTTTGATTTGACACTAATGTGCTTGATTAAGCTTTATAAGTGTTTGATATTAGAGCGTAAGGCTTTGTTTGGGATGATTTTTTTACTGCTTCTTAAAACAGTTTTTTAGTACAAAAATTTTAATTTTTTTACTAAAAAAGTTACTTTAAAAGGTAGCAAGAAAGTGTTCCCAAATGAAGCCTAAATATTAAATTCTAATATGAATTTTGGTTAATTTCATTTGATAAAATTTGAAGATTTGGGTTATTAACACGTTTGCAATATTTTAATCAACTATATATATTCAATTAGTTTTTAACAAATTTGGTAGTTAATATTTAAATGGACTTAAAATGATAGTAAATAAGAGTTAATGATTTTAATTATTAAAATTTGATATTTAAAATCTTATGATCAGAATAAGAAATTTTAGAAAATATAATATATTTAATAATATAAGTATCTTTGCTGTTTTTTCTAATTTAATTTTATAATTTCTAAGGCTTTAAAGAGAGGGTATAAATACATATTTACTTTATTTCGATTAAAAATTGGAACCAATTATGCAATTAGGTTCAATAGCAACTAAAAGGTTTGCAAAACTTTTTTTTAAATATAATTTTAGAAGAATTTGAAATGGGAAAAATATAGGTTGATTTTTTTAATAATTTTTGAAATATCAAAAAATATTTTCCATAATTTTCTAGATTTTTTTTCCAAACTATGTTAGTACTTTCATGACTTATTAAGGCTCTAAATCAATAAATAAAATCTAGAAGATTTCATCATCTATTCGGTCATAATAGGTTTGTAAAAAAAGCTCATTTTTCGTAAACAACTTGTGTTTGACTCACTAAAAAGCTCATGTTTAACGTGCTCATTATGAAAATAAGCAAGCTTGAACATATATTTTTAAATCGCTTTTTAGACAAATATAACCTAACAAACCTTTTGTTTAATTATATTCATCTCATTAATTGTTTGTAATACATATGAGTGTAGGTACATGTATATATTTATGTATGTATACAAATTAATTTTATACTTGTTATTTTACTTAGTATATGTTAATCATAACCCTTGGATTCTAACAAATTGTAGCATCTGATTATGTTAAATTTCTTATGATCATACTAGAATCATGCTGAACACGGGGTCAACATGCTTATTGGGGATTTAACAACTTCGATGCAAATTTGATGTTTACTAATAATATTGAACAGAAGTAAAACTCAAGCAAAATATTAAGCAAATCAGTCAAACATAATGTATATCAAGTCAGACTCATTTACACTCTTAAGCCAAACAAACAAGAAAATACTTTGAGAAGGGAACTAATGAATAACCCAAATATTTTGAGTCATGATTGCCACATGTGTGGTGGTTCCTCATTAGAGATCATATTTGGGATGGGATCCATAGGGGAAGTAGTAGGTGAGATGTAAGCTATTTAATGTCAACAAAGCGGGCAAAATTAACTAAAAATTAAAATCATACATCTTAAGATTTATGCTATTTAATGAAATTAATATCACTATTCATGATTAATCTGAGCTAATGGTGTTAATTTAGTCACTTAGCTCCCATACTGAACTAAGATTATTAGTGGTTTATGAGGACATCTCCATTAACATCACATTGATTTGAATAAACAAAGTATCAAAATTGATTAGCATGATAAGATGAAGGCAATGGTGTAAGAAAGAAGGAAGGTCATGGTTTGTGTACTGTTGTCTGACTGAATTATTAAAAGAAAAAAAAATAAGAAAAAATGTCTTTGGTTTTAAGGGTTCATAGCTCACCAGAAGGTCCTTTGTTCAAGTATGGGTCATGAAACCCTTACTAAGAGGAAATGAAGTGCCTTTAAGTAACATGGGTTCTAGTTATTCTTGAGTGAGTGTGCTGACCAAGCTCACTTTAAACCCTTGCTAGAGTTGTTGTAGGAAGCACACAAAGATGATGAGAAGGCTTGGGGAGGGGTCAAGCAAGTTTAAGGATATAAAGAGAAGCAAATAGAATGTTATGATTGTTTCCTCTTGAATTCGAATGAGCTAATGGACACACCCTCTCATCGATGTTAATCCATCATTTTGTTCAACTAAAGGAGCAATACTATCAAACTTTAGCCAACAACTCGGGAGAAGTGCAATATAGTCTCCACATGTCATAGGCTATAGCTAAGAATGTTGGACTTCCTCCACCCCTTATGCCATGATCTTTAATTGGCTTGGGTTTCCATTAAGTTTGGCGGAAGTGAAAATGGATTACTATAATGGTTTATAGTCTAATATATGTTAGATTGAGTCATATCGGCTGGTTAAGATGCTTATGAAAATTCTGGAATGGAATGTTTTCCATGTGGATTGGTCTGGCCATAGACTAGCTACTTGTTATGCTTTTGTATCAATTAGCTTAGATATAAAAGATAAAGGGTTAAGTCTAATTAAGATCTAGGCTTGGCTTGGTGGCAAGTGATGTTAGCTCAAGTTTTCAATTGGGACTTTAATTGAGTTCATTTGGGTGATTTCCCAATTAGGCTAACTTAGGTTAATATTTAATCAATCCATCTTAGGGCTAGGCTAAGCAAAGACATATAGCATTATGTGTGGTCCTTGGGTATAAGTTAAGAATTTTAAGGGTTAATTTAGCGCTAATTGAGCTCTTTAACTGCAATAAGTCTATGTTGGGCCATTAGGGTCTAACTACTAAGCTTGATTTAAATGAGCTACCTAAGACAATCAAATTTGTGATTAATCGGATTAAGTCTAGTTTTAAGAAGTTAGAGGTGATCCAATGTCTAATTGAACCAAATTCATTAGGTTGCCCAAATAGGTCATTAATGCACTCAATTTAACTATTTTGAGTTATGGTTAAGTAGCTACCAAATGTGGAGTGAAGTGTGGCTCTTAAACCCTAGTGTGAGCCACACCCTATTCACTTGGACACACTAGGGGTTTGAATTATACCTCATATCTTTTATGGACATTAAGTTAAGATTTTTTTTAACTCAAATAATGACTAAGTTTAAGGGATAACCATTTAAAAGTACAGTTTAGCTTCAGTTAGGTCTAAAGTAGGATAAAGAGTAAGGTCATGCTAGGTGTGGCTAGGTTATAATCTAGGTGTATCCAAGGAACAATTATTACGTCCTCCGATTGGACATAGAGGAACGTCCGGTCGGAGGCCAAATCACGCCAAAAAACGAGAAATACCGAGCAAATACCAAGCAATACCAAACAATAATGAGGAATACCATCACGTGAAGACCTAATACCGAGTTATACCGAGCAATACCGAGTTATACAAAAGTTGTACCGAGTTTTTCCTAGAAAAAACTCGGTACAACTCGGTATAGCTCGGTATAACTCGGTATTGATCTTCACAGAGCGGTATTCCTCGTTATTATCAAATAATACCTAGTAATACCGAGTGTAAATATCAAAATTGCATTTTCTTATGCCAAATCTTTTAAATTAATATGTTCATTTTATATATCCTTGAGGAGGCATAAAGTAAAGCTTATCATCAATTGACCCTAGCTAATGGGCATACATAATATGGTCTATCCTAATACATATAGTTAAAACCTGTCACTTAAGTATATATAACTTTGCATACATTCTGGTCCCCTAGGATAATTTTCCCAACTTGGAGATATGCTTTAATTAAATATGCCTAGGTAGTTGTATGGCACACTATGTAGTGCTAATCTTGATCCAAACAAGGTAATGAGCCTAATTGGATAGCTTTGATTATGTATAGTTAAACTATCCTATTCAATTATTTTCATATGTAGTCCTTATACCTCTGAGGTTTCCAAGCTTAACACATTTCTAAATCTATCCAATAAGACTTATTGATCCAACCTTACGAGAACTTTTTTTTTTTAATCTTCATTGTGAACTATCCTATACAAAAATGCACCCTTACATTATACCCTATTTTCTTTCAATATTTGTAAATTAAAAATGTGTGTTTCCATGTTGGTGGCACTATAGTATGCATTGAGAATAATTATATCCAAAAAAGAATCTTTGTCAAGTAGGGGGGACCATACAAGAAGAGTTGATTTGATAAACTAGTTATATTTTGAGTTGGAGGAAGTGCTCAACGTTAATATGGAAATAAGTGATTCTAAAATGAGAAAGTGTTTAGCTATTAAAGGAAAGATCTTGATGGTCTAGGAAAAAAGTTCAAATTTTCATCTCTACAGCTTAACATATCTACCCATAATTAAATACCTAATGTTGATTATTAATCTCAACTGCCCTTTAACACCTTTAGAATCTTCACATACTACCTCACTTGCACCTTCAAGTCATAGAATCTTCCCTTCATAAGGATGGTTTGACCGACCTTAGTGACTATCAAGACCTTCCTAAACATCTTGCTCACCATCTTTAGGTTGAGCAATCTTTTAACTCTAAAGGACTATATTGATTACCCTTAATCACTACTACCATCTTCTCATTCAACTTCACACATCAGGATCTAACTACCCTTAAGCATCTTCACAACCTTCTTATGTCACATATCCATTGCCTTTAAGTTGTGTTATAACTTCCTCCTTAAGGAGGCCTTTCCTAATTGCCCTCAATCACCATTGTGACCTTCCCATCCCACCTCACTCCTCACCTTCATGTTGTGATATATTTTTTCCATAATGAAAACCATTTAAATTGCCTCGAGTAACCTCTATAACCTTTTCGTGATGCCTAGCATGCTACCTCTAGGTCATGTGTCCTACCTCTAGAAAAGGACGTTCTTAATTCTTTTTATCACTTCGTCCACCTCTTTTAGATCACGTTCTTCACATCCATGAGATGTATGTCCATTCTTAGCTTCTTATATGATATTCCCTTGCCACTTGCCTACCACTTTGTCCACTGTTTTAAGATTTGAATCTAGGAGGATGACCATAAAGGCAATTCTAAGTACCATCATTAACCTTTTAGTATTACCTCATTAATGACTTGCAAATCTTGCATCATTTACCTTTAGGAGGACTATCCTACTACTCCTCAATGGCCGTTACTTTATCATCCAGCACCTTTAAGTCACGCAGCTGTATTCATCCTTAATGACCTCTGTGACTTTCTAATGCCATTTTATCTATTGCCTTGAAGTTGTGTTATATTTATCATTCGTCGGAGAGTCGTCTTCAATATTCAACCTGATTGCATCGCCAACATTAATGATGCCTATAATAACTTACTTTCATTTATTTATATTCACACCTCTTTGTTTGGGGAAGTACGCCTCTATATAATTCATATCCAGTGCTAATAACAACTATTTCAATTAAATTAATATTACCTTTGGGATAGCTTTCTTAATATTTTCTAAAGCATTTTTTTAGAACTAAAATTTCTTAAAATAGAATTTTTTTTACTAAAAAGCTACTTTAGAAATCAGTAATAAAGTTGTCCTAAACAAAACCTAAATATTGCCTTTTTATTTTCTTAATTTTCACATAAAATTTTATATATCCCATATCATTTTATTCATCTTTCCATCTATATTTAATGTCATTCATTAGAGATTTCTTTATGAATTAGCATATATTTATGCCTAAACACAAATTTCTAGCACTTAATAATACATTAATAAACATAAATATTTATGATAATGGACCAATTAAAATCTCTAAAAGAAAAAAAAAACTCACTTTCATAATTGCATTTAGGCACATGCATTTTATCATAATTAGCAAATATAAATATTTATATAATGCACCCATTGAAACCTATAATTTCAAACTACAACAACATCAAGCCTTTATCCCACTACGTGGGGTCGGCTACATGAATCCTTTTTCTCCATTGTGTCCTATTAAAAGTCAAATTCTCGTTTAAATCTAATAAAGAAAGGTCATTCCTAATATTTTCTAACCAAGTCTTTTTAGGTCTACCCCTACCTTTCTTAACATAAGTCAAATCTAATACCTCTACTCTCCTAACCGGGTCATCGCAAGGCCGCCGTTTTATGTGACCAAACCATCTAAGGCGACTTTCTCTAATCTTATCTTCTACTGGAGCTACTCCAACCTTTTCACGTATATGCTCATTTCGTATCCTATCTCTCAAGATATAATTTCAAACTACAACCTAAAATTATATCTATTTAAGACACTCAATTAATATTTTTTTAAAATTGGCAGCGGTTCACCGATTTGAACCGATTTTGACCAATTCATTGTAAAATTGATTTTGAGAATGAATCAAATCGATTGACATATTTGTCCAGAATTCAATAATTGAGGTTTTGTTTGGGACGACTTTCTTACTGCTTCTTAAAGAAGCTTTAAAGGCAAAAATTAAAATTTTTGTATTAAAAAACTGCCCTAAAAATAGTAAGAAAGCCCTCCCAAGTGAGGCAAATTATTAGGTCTGGTCACCGGACGTATATAGAGATACGTCCGGACACTAATAAAATATTATTTTAAATTAAGCGCATCAAAAGCACATGTAAAACACATGTAAAGCATAGATAAAGTGCATGTAAAGCACAATCAAAGCACATTCAAAAAATCGTAGTCAAAGCGTAGTCAAAGCACAGTTAAAGCGCAGTCAAAATGCCGACAACGTAATAAATTTTAATTGGATGTCCGGAGCTATTTTTAGCTCCGGTGACCAGACCTAATAATTTGTCCCCAAGTGAAGCCTGAGCCGACCGATTTGATCCGATTTTTAAAAAATTGAAATTAATCATATTAACATACCTATTTTGTTTAAAAGTTTGTAGCCTTTAAATTGATTAATTTAATATTAATTTAATGGATTATCATAAAATCCCGTTCGAACAAAACCAGATCTTTCCCGTTCGAACAAAACCAGATCTTTCTTCTCACGGCCCGCTCCCCTTCCCCAACCCCCTCTCTCTTTCCTTTCTCTCTCTTGGGCGGAAGGAAGAACCCTAGGTAGATTTCCTCCCGTATTCTCTCCTTTGGAAAAACTTGCAGGGAAAGGTAGTATGGTAGAGGAACCCAAGGCGCGGTCTGCCGCTTCTTTATCCATCATTGACCCTCGATCGCGCTTTTGTTAAGAGGTTAGTCTCTGGATGGATTTTCAAAAAATTTATGTTTTTTATATTTTCTTTGTTAGTTTCTGGTTTTCCCTTGCATTCTTAGGTTCTTAGGTTTCTGCGGGGATTTGGGCGAGGGGTCTTTTCATGGGGGTGGGGCAGGGATTCTGTTGTTCGATTGGAGATTCACATGTACTACTTAATCTGAAAGAGGGCTTTTATATTTGTAATTTTGAAGCCAAAGGCACGTGTGACGATTTTTGTGTATTTGAAGTTTGATTAAAACAAAAAAGAATGGCTTTGGATTTCACGAAGTAGAGTCGTTGGCGTTCTGGTCATATACCGTGAGCGGTGCGGTGATCATCTATTAGAATAGAAATTGCTCGGTTTTGTTTTTTTTTTTTTTTTTGGGCGAAAAGTTCTCTTGTAAAAAAAAAAAAAAAACTGGTATAATTATTTTCTTCCAATGTTTTTTTTTTTATGAAAAAATCAGTTGGACGGAATTTAAATTATCTATGCCTCATTGTTCTTAAGCCAACTGGATGGCAAGTTGCTAGGGGTGAAGGTTTAAATTGTTTCTTTTAGAAAGTTCTGTAGTAATTTTTCGTTTTCTTCCGGTAAAGCTATTTATTGTATTCCATAAAATTCAGAATGCCATTTGCATATGAAATATTAAGAAGATATGACGAGCAATATCTTTTCTCAGTTAAAATTTAGGTGATTTTTTTTTTAAACTTCTTATGGTGCTTGGATACTGCAACTTGAATTGTTATTTGATTTTCTTTCCTCTTTGCAGGTTTCCTTTTTTGTCAATTCAGAGATCTTCATAACATAAAAGATGAATGGGAATGGGAATGGAACGTTTAATTCTCAGATTTTGGTGGATAAGTTGGCAAAACTTAATAGTTCGCAGCAAAGCATAGAAAGTATCCTTTCAATTTATATTCTGCAGGATGGAAAATATATCTATCATCTTCTGTGGTTGATGAGTTTGTTGTTTCACTAAAGATTTATTGGTTTGGATTTGAATGCCTTACGAATTAGACATTTTTTTTTGTTAAAAGATTATCAAAGCCTTTGAGTGCTACTCTTCTATAGACGGTTTTATGTATCATAATTACTGCACATGCTGTGTATTTAGACCTAAATGTGCTGCTATAAATAGATTAATTTTATATGAATGTTTGTATTATTATTATAATTATATTAACGTTTGGAATAAGGACTCATAAATGTTCATGTAGCTTTTGTATTTTTTATCTTATTCAAGGACTTGGTGGCTCTTATGCTTACCATTTCATTGTAGTAATTAAACAATAAGGGTCTTTCCTAAACCCTCACCCCTTAGGCATATTTATAAAGAAAAGGACATATAAAACTTTTTGATTTATTGTTTCCCATTTTCTATACTCCCATGCTATGTTATTTTGTTTCCAATCTTCATTAGCTCTTTCTAGAGTGAGCTAATGAAAGTTCTGTTATGGTTTTATTTATAAAAAAAATGAAATTTGATTTTTTATGCAACCTAGTTTATTTGATTTTACTTTTCTACAAAATTGTTCAGTTTGGGATGGAATGATACATATGTGTTCTTTCAACTCCCTGAGATTCCACGTCAAATTTGAAATTTGTTTTTGCTGACTCATCATCCTCTTTGAATTATTCTTTTGAATATCAGAATAGACTTTGTTTCTTGAAACCAATTTTTAGCTTTTTTGTTTTAATGTTCATAACATTTCACTGTGTAATTCTTAACCAAATGAAAAGCTTTATCACATTGGTGCATATTCCATAGAATGAAGGCAAGGCAAGTTGTGGAAATATGGGACCGTCAATTTCACCATTCCCCACGTGAGCAGCGATTATCTTTTCTTTACCTTGCAAATGATATTTTGCAAAATAGTCGGAGGAAGGGTGTAGAATTTGTTAATGAGTTTTGGAAGGTTCTTCCGGATGCACTTAATGATTTGATTGAGAAGGGTGATGATTTTGGAAGAAAAGCTGCTTTAAGGCTGGTATGCTTTATTTTCTAATTATGTTGTTACTGTCTACTCCATATATGGAAATTCTTTAGCTAATCTAGAAATGCATGTAGAACAACTGCTGCTTTTTGCATATCGTAACCCTGCAGAGCAGAATTGTGTCATGCTTATTTCGCCATTTTGACTTTTTCTTAAAAAAGATTGTATTATATTGTTTCTTCTTCTGAACATTCAAAATTTATGTGCTGGGGAACCCTACTGGTTGAGGGTTTAGTGGAATGCGTCCGTGCGTATTGAATTGGTATTTAAGTCTTTCAGATTCTTTTCTTCTATTGGAATTTTGGGATTAATGAAGGCATGAAAGCATGCCTTGCAATCTGGCTGCAAGTATTTGAGTCTATGTTGACTTGGCACCTTGGCTTTTGATACTTTTTCCCCTCTAATGGGGCTCTAATTTCATATGGAAAACTTGTTGGATGATTTGCATTTTAGTTTTATCTTTGTGAACCCCAAAAAGCTGTGATAAGGTTAATGACGATGATGGAGTGATGAACCCAAATTTGTAATGGGGCGATCATAACATAATCAATAAATGGGAAGAATTTCCATTGTTAAGTTGGTGCTATTTTCTTCAGTGACCTCCGAGGAAACCAGCAGGTAATTTGCATGTCAGACACACTTGTCTTTTTCTATATTTTGGTAAATTTGCATTCCCCTTGAATACACTCATAAAAATTTACAGCCTAGTAATGACCAATGAACAGTAAGATGTGGTTTTTAATTCATCAATGTGTATATTACTGGGTTTTATGTACTGCAGAAATGTACATCTAGTTGTCTATTTGATGATAATTGTATATCATATTTTTGTTTCAATGTAAGGTGAATTTCCATGTATGTTCCATGTGCTTTGGAGAGATTAAATGTGAATCCCTTAGTTTAGCATTTAAAAGATGATATGTAAAGGAATGTTTTCCACAGCACAAATTGGAAAATCGTATGCACCAATTACGTTAAAATTTTTAAAGAAAACTAGAGCACTACGCCATCTAGAAGTTGTTGTTTAACAATTTACAGAAATAGATAGTGGTTCATCCTGTTTATGATGTTGGGAACTTGTTTATTTGCTTATGAGGTCAAAGCAGAGCAAAAATATTTAATGGTTAATGCTTAGAAATGCAAAAGTACTTGATCCATTTTTATAATGAGGCGCAAGTTCCCCATTTCTTCTTTTAATAGCATGTGGCATTCACAAAAATTTTTAAATAACTGAATGTTATATAAATAATTTGAAAGTAAGTGATATAGAAACTTCATATGTTTGAAAGCTTAATGTACTGAGAGAAACTATATATGTTTTCTGTAATTTTTTTAGTCTTTGAACTTCTATAATGTCAACCAAAAACATTGATCTTCATATCCAACACCCTTGTACTAGATAGGGACTATGGCTTTGTTTGGGACGGCTTTCTTACTGCTTCTTAAAGCAACTTTTTAGTACAAAAATTTTTAATTGTTGCACTATAAAGCTTCTTTAAGAAGCAATAAAAAAGCCGTCCCAAACGAAGCCTATAAATTGTGTTTCATAATTGTTTTGTTCTTGATCAAGCATGATAGCTGGCGGCACCCCCACTAACTCACTTTAATCCGCAAAATAGTATAAGCTATCAGTTTAAAGAGACATTTTTCAATAAGTAAAACAATCGGTATGCTTTTGGTGGGTGATTTATTTTGCCCCGAAACATAACATTTAACAAGACAAGGGTGTTATGAAAAAAGAAGGGAAATGCATGCTATCTCTTCCCTACTTGAAACCAGATGGTCTTATGAACCATATGTTTGAACGAGCGGGTAAATTTCTTCTTCTTCCTCCTTTTGGTAAGGTTCAATCTGCTAGAACAACATTATGTATTAGGCATTTTTTTCTGTAGGAGATTATCGGTGGCAGAATGGCAATCAAATCATAAATATTATTCTTGAAATAGTCATGAATGTCTAGCTATTTCAAAAATCTAATTTTTCCACCCTTAATAATTTGTTTTGTTCAGCCACATTGTACATCTTTTAATTTTTTTTCCCAAAGCCCAATAAGTAGGTAAATTTTATTGATGCCTCAATGCTAATGTCCACTATGTTAGAGGATCATTGGCATAATAAATGCTTTTAGTGTAGAATCGTCTGTAGTACCATGACTTAATTAGTTTCATCCTGATTGTAAGCTTTCTTTCTTTTTACCCATTTTGTGTGGACCATTATCCGTGATCCTGATTTAATTCCTACATACTTTTTTTTTTATTTGCTTTTAACGATACTTTAGCCATTGGTTTACTTCAGGTCGACATATGGGAGGAAAGAAAAGTCTTTGGTTCTCGTGGGCATGTTCTAAAGGAAGAAATCATAGGTAGAAATTCAGAAAACAGAAAGTCGAGTGAGAGAAATGCAAATTACAAGTCGGTAAGAATCTATTTATCATCAAGTCTGTGAGTGCATATATTCATGTAGCACTTGTAGCACGGCATGCTTTTTGTATGGTGGCCACTACTTGAGCCATGTTCAAACTTTTTTATACCCGTTATCCTCTTTCAAAAGTTGCAGAAATATCCTGGCAGAGAATTGCTTGAGAAGATCATCTCCGGTTATGAGCTTATCCATAATGATCATATAGATGAGGATGCATTGCTTGGAAGATGTAGTACAGCTATCAGCTCCATGGAGAAAATGGACCAGGAGATTGGCAATAATCTTAATCTAGGTAATCTGCTGGCATTGTTTATTTAGTTTATTTCCTTCAAGTATCTTGTAGCTTTTTTTCTCCACCTTTAAATGCCACTGATAAAAGAAAGAAATGTTTCTAATTAAGTTGCGAAGCATATCCAAGTTATTGGTCCCTATTTCTGAGGAGAGAATGATTATTTTAGTGCATGTTTTTTCTTGATTTATAATGATGTTGAAAATAAGGTGATATATAATTAAGGAATATGTGGACCTACTGATAGAAATTGTTTGGCTTTGTTACTTATGCCTCGTTGTATAAAATACTTTGCTGCTTTGGCGTTTGGGTGAGATTTTTTTTTTTTTACTTTATGTGATCTGAATGTTTCCATCCAAAGTTGTGGCCCTCAGTTTTCTTCTATACACAACCTTGATGTACAACTTTGGTCCAAAATTTAGATTTATTCTTTTGTTGTAATTCTTTTTTGTTTCATCGTGGTAATAGGTCTTTCTAGGGATAAGGATGACCTCTCATTAATAAGATAGTTTCATCTTGGTGGTAGCTCCAGGTTTTAATGTATTTAGGTCAATCAATCATTTGGCCTTCTAGGAGTGGAAGTTAAGAGCATTTGAATTTAGGGCTTTACAACTGGAAGAGCTATGGAGGAATTATGGATTTAGAAGAACATTACTTCAATCATTTCATCAGGTTGTTGATCACTTTCTCGCACTCATTCTTTTTTCTTTCATCTCTCATTTAATTTCTTTCTAGTTGGCTTTTAAAAGAAGATATGTATGATGCAAGGTTGCAATTCCACTTGTTCAGAAGGCTAAACAAATTATTCTTTCCCCTTTGATTGTTATCTCATACCCTTTGATTGTTATCTCATACCTTTGTTAGATAAGTGTCTCTTCTAGTGTACCAAACTTAAAAGCTTTTAGAACCTTCCATTTTGATGCATCAACTCCTTTGTGTGAAATGAAGCATATTGACTCACGAAACCTATGTGTTAAGAGAAGGTTTTCTAGAGATAGTGGGCTCACAGTTCAAAATGACAAGAGGGAAGATAGTGATGGATGATATGTAGGGGTTCATGGGTATTTTTAGTATTAAAAGCTTGTATGGTTATTAAAAACTTGTGGCAGTGGAACTTGAAGTGCGTCAGAATCCTTAGAACTCTCTTTTAGTTTTTAGAATGGTTTGCCCCCTCTTTTGTGGGTTCATTCTCGTTTTTAGCCAGTAAAGAGAAGACAATATGCACTTCACAATAGGATGAATGGATATTGTTTTAGTTCCCTTCTTTGTGAATCTTGGATTGACGCATTAATAAATATAATGCAAATTATTCATCTATTACAAGAACTTTAAGAACTTTTCTCTTGATAGACAAGCAACTTCCTTTGGAAACTTGCAAAATCTATAAATGTCTTAATTAAATCAAATATAGAGAATTAAGAAAATTTTATAAAAATATCTAGAACATTTTATCTTAGGAAATATCGTTTTATATCTTTCTTAATTTTTTGTTTTTGATAATTACATCTAACCCATTAAATTAGATCATGTATTTGGACCAAGGATATGATCTAGAAGTATTGTTATGAAGCTCTCCAAATCTTTCTTCAAGTTTTAAATGTTTTGAACTTAATTTCCGTCCTAGTTTAAAAGAATGAGTTGTGCTTTTTTTCTTGATTTTCTATATCGAGTTTATGTTCCTCTTTGAGTGGGGCAAAGAAGACTAGCCTATCTATTTTAATTCAATTTGGTTTTTTAACTAAAATTCTATCTGGCTTTTGTTCTTTTTTGATATTCTTGCAACTTGATATTCCCAATCATCTTAAAATTTGACTAGTAATAATTTTTTTAGAAAGTTATTTTTTCAAAGCGATATTCCTCAATCTTCCTTTCAATAATAAAAAAAGATGGAACTTGGAAGTAAGACCTTGAATGGCCAAGAAAATTAGCTTATCTGCACAGTGGGGGTTAAAGTAAGTAAGAACAAAAAAATTCCATTTGGACTAGAAAGTCTAGGAATAATTTATCATCTTATGATCAAGAACCTCAGTCTCTCATGGCTTGATGTTCCAAACCACAACTGTGCATCCTAAATTAAGAACTTCAAATCTTCATTTTAACTTTTAGATCCCTTTAACTTGCATTTCTTCTATTGAAATATTGTCTCTTATACTCTTTATTTTTCACCTTTTACTTGATACTAAACTAAATCTTCAAGTTCAAAAGATGGAAGAAGGCATCGGAAGGCATAACTCGCTTGAGGCTATCCGACCATGACCACCACGTTTGGTTTGGGTTTACCACTTGCACTTTTGTACATGGATTTCTTATTGGGTTGCTAATATCCCTGCAATTTAAGCCCTTAATCATGGCTTTGGTATTAGCTTCACAATCTCGTCATCTTTTAATCATCGGTGTTGGTGTCCTATGGTTTGATGTTTAAATCATGACTTGATTCTTCATCTTCTAAATTTCTTTATGGAATGAATGAATATCCCATCCCCACTCAACACCTTTTCAATCTTTAGCTAGGAGGATAAAGACAAGGTTCTTGAATATTAAAATCATTAATATTATTGGTATCTATTAAATGAAGTATATTAATTAAAGTTTTAGATTAAAATTAAATTGAGTTTTCTAAATTCTTGTAATACCTCAAATGCGCTTAAAGTTAACTTTTGGTGTAAATATTTGCTATATTTTATGTTACTTTTTAATTGAGGGACTATTTGAGATCAATTTCTATAGTACAACAACAACATCATCAAGCCTTTATACCATTATGTGGGGTCTGCTACATGAATCTTTTTCTCCATTTTGTCATATTAAGAGTCAAATTCTCATTTAAATCGAATAAAGGCCACTTCTAATATTTTCTAACCAAGCATTTTTAGGTCTACCTCTACCTTCTTTAAGATAAGCCAAGTGTAATATATGTACTCTCCTAATTGGGTCATTAGAAGGCTGATGTTTTATGTGATCAAACCATCTAAGGAGACTCTCTAATCTTAACTGCTACTGGAGCTACTCCAATCTTTTCACGTATATGCTCATTTCATACCATGTCTCTAAGTGTAAAGCCACTCATCCACCTGAGCATCCTCATCTTTGCAATTAATATTATGCTTCTCTTTTAATGGCCAACATTCTACGCCATAAGCATTGCAGGTCTCACCACCATCTTGTAGAAATTTCCCTTTAAGTTTGAGGGGACTTTTCTATCACACAACAAGTCCGATGCATTCCTCCACTTCAAACATCCAAGTTGAATTCTACTAATAATATCTCCGTCTATTTCACCATCACTCTGAACAATAAACTCAAGATATCTAAAGCATATAATTTTAGATCTACTCAAACGAAAACCTTTAGACTCTTAAGATCACATAAAACACCGAAATGTTATACTTTAAGATCAATTTTTATAGGAAAGGGATTAAATTAGAGAAATTTGATACTTTAAATTGGTCATATACGGATACCCAAGTGACTATTTTGGCTTTTTTTATTTTATCTTTGTTATGCTGATGCTTGCAAAAATTTTCAAGCTAAGATGTTTTTTTGTGTATATTTTTGCGGCAATGACTCTAATTACAAGAGATGTATATTGAAATAATAGAGAAAAGTTTAGAAGATAAGAGTGCTTGAAATTAGGGGGAAAACGTTATCAATCAATTTTATTAGAAGATAAAATGATAATTTTAAGCATGTTGAATATATTATACATATGAATGATGATATTGTTAAGGATATTAAATGTCAAAGTATAGGTCGGATCTAATACAGCTACTCTCCTAATAAGGTTTTTGGAAGGTTGTTGCTTTATGTTATCATGCCATCTAAGGCGACTCTCTCTTACATGCATGCAAACCTCTCTTGTATTTTGAGGAGATATTTGATGAGCTCTCCCTGCAAAATCATCTATCATCCTCCACATTCATCCTATATTGGTCTTTAGGTCCTCTTGCACTTTTATTTAAGATTTTTGGCAAAGAAGATAATTATTACCACTTGGTCCACTACTAGAATAAGTTCGTTATCTACTTTTTATCAAATTATCCTTGTGTCAAATACTTAACATGGTTACTTTGTTCATGTAAGCACTGATATTCTCTTTCATCTCATCAAACTCTTTGGCACACAAGCAACATTCTAATGAAAACTAGAAAGATATTCTTTCATTCTGGTTACACCACCCTTACCAACTTTATTACCTTAGTTTTACTTCAAATAAACATGTCTTCTTACTCGTGCCAATTTGCACTTGCACGTGATGTTTTCATGCCGGTTCTTTATAGTTCTAATTGGGCTTTTTTATTACCTCTAACCATTTTAGAAAACCTTAAAATGAAAATTATAATTCAATAAATATGTTACAAAATACAAATGTACAAAAAAAAAAAAAAAAACTAAACCAAGAAAGTAAAAAATTAATTTAATATTAGGAAATAAAAAATGGCTATTGTTAGCTGTAAGAAGAAGAACTTTGGTGGAGGACGGCTTGGCAAGGAGGTGATGGCAATGACGATGACAACAGTGGCGGTGTGCGGTTGAGAAGAGGGTGGATTTGGTGAGTCCATATGTGTGAGGGCATAGTTGGGGAGGAACTGAGGGCTTTAGGAGGAGAAACTCAATTTAGAAGAATTGATGTAGTTAAATTATAAAGGGGTTTAAGTATATATTTTATTTATAATTTTTTTTAAATCATCCTAGCCCTAGCACTTGAGGTGTATGTCTTTACCTTATTGCAAAGTGGCGTGCCTTAGTCGTGTTGAGGCGGACGTTGCATCATGGCCACCATAAGGCTTACGCCTCATAGAATCATTTGGCTAAAAATGCCAAGACGTGAATTTTATTGCGCAATTTTAAGCTATATTTTTTTACTTATAATTTTGCTATAATTCATTTAAACTTTTGTGCGTTTTTTACCTGCTCATAGGTACTATTAGCGGATCTGGAGCTTTTGAGGAGTTGAAGGGGTGGCACAACATTCTAAGGGAATGTGTTGGGCAACTAAAAATTGCTGAATCATCAAGGATAGCCCTGCAATCTCACTTAAGAGAAGCACTGCATGAGCAGGTGAGTCAATTGGTTTTATTTCTGTTTTCAAATAACTGACCATAAGCTCAAGTGGCCTGTATTGTTCTGTTATGATTGCCTTTTTGGAAGCTCATTCTCATGTGTTACGTAATTCTTTAGGAATTGAAGATTGAGCAGGTCCGTGAGCAACTTCAGGTATGCATAATGCATTAAGCATTGTTAAAATTTCAATTCAATGGTAATTTTAAAATTTTCTTATTTATTTTGTTTGGCATGCCTAGAATTGAAGCTGGGTTTCTAAATTGTTTTTTTTTTTTTTTTTCTAATGGTTCTCCAATCATGTATGTTGATAAGTGTTTGATAGGAAATACTTGAAATCAAGTAATTCCTAGCCAAAACTGAAGCGGAACCAGGGAAAAACTGCTGTCTCCAGCAGTGGACAGCAGCTTTACACAGGAAAACAGTGAGGAAACGCGAGAAAACTGAGATCCAACGCAAGCAAAGGCTGGTATTTTATTAGTAGACGAATAAAATTGCAAAGATACAATTTGTTCTTCAATTCGAGAGGAAGAACGTACTCTCCAAAGTCTCCGGCGAAGCCAAGAGCCCAAACAAAACCTAGATCTCATAGAGAAAACTCAAATTCAAGATAACCCTAATTTCCCCCCATCTCCCTAATTAAAGCAAAAGGAAAGATACAAATTACATAAACACCCTCCTCATTCAAAATTTTCCTCCAACGAAACGCTCAAAATCCTCCTAGCCCGCCTCTTCTTCCGCCGTTTTTGCAAATAGGTTCCGCCCGGCTTTGGACCGCCGGGTGTAGAACCGGACCGGTCCAGCTGGGACCGGTCCAAGCGTAACATTACCGCCCTCCCAAAGAATCACCTTGTCCTCAAGGTGAAAATTAGGAAACTGATGTTTCATCCTCTCGTATGGCTCCCACGTGGCCTCGTTGTCAGGAAGGTTCTTCCACTGGATCAACACTTCCTTAGTTTTATCTTCTTTTTGGCGAACACCCTTCAGCTCCAACGGTTCCATGATCACCTCTAAATCCTCCGTAAGTGTGGTCGGCAACTCGGGAATGGTGATGTGATCACCAATGACCTTTCTCAACTGTGAGACATGAAAAACCGGGTGTATAGTCGCCGATGGGGGTAATTTCAGTTGATATGCTACTGCCCCAATCTTTTCCATCACTTCATAAGGACCAAAGTACCTTGGAGCCAGCTTTTCATTCATCCTGTTGGCGACTGTCTTCTGCTTGTATGGACGGAGCTTCAAGAACACCTTATCCCCTGCCTCAAACTGGATATCTTTCCTATGCCCATCTGCTTGTTTCTTCATGATTTGCTGCGCCCTCAGCAAATGCCTCTTTAACTCTTCTAGCACTCGGTCCCTCTCCTCCAAGTACTCCTCTACCGACGAAACAGGGGTACTACTGCTCCCAAAGTGTACCAAGTGTGGGGGATCTCGTCCATACAACACCTTGAATGGAGTCATTTGTGAAGCCGAGTGAAATGATATGTTGTACCAGTACTCAGCCCAGGATAGCCACTTTGCCCATAGCTTTGGTGTCTCTGAAACAAAGCATCTTAGGTACGTCTCCAAGCTCCTGTTTACTACTTCCGTCTGGCCATCCGTCTGTGGGTGGTAGGCTGTGCTCCTCTTGAGCACTGTTCCCTGCAGTCTGAATAACTCCCTCCAGAAATGGCTGAGGAATACCTTGTCCCTATCTGATACGATCGCCTATGGTACTCCGTGCAGTCTGATCACTTCCCTGATGAATGCTGAAGCTACTGTCACTGCAGTGTAGGGGTGTCTGAGTGGAATGAAGTGTGCATATTTGCTCAGCCGGTCCACCACTACCAGTATCACCATGAATCCTTCTGACCTGGGTAAGCCATCGATGAAATCCATGGACACTTCCTCCCAAACTCTGTTTGGAAGTGCCAATGGTTATAGTAAACCTCCTGGAGCCATGGCCATGTATTTGTTTCTTTGGCAGACCTCACAACCCGCCACCATCTCCTCCACATCTTTATGCATCCCCTTCCAATAAAGTTCTGTTGCCAGCCTCCGGTATGTCTTCTGAACTCCTGAGTGACCTCCAATTGAGCTGCCATGAAATTCCTGCAACAGATAGGGAATGTGTATGGAAGTTCGTGGCATCACGAACCTCCCCTGATACAATAGTCTCCCCCCTTCCATGTAGTAACTAGGATGACTACTCCTGTCTTTCTCCAGATCCTCCCTGATCTTCCTCAGCTCCTTGTTCAGCATACTTTCTTCTTTGATGGCCCACCAGCCTACTATCAATGGCACTGACACAACCAACTCCTGAATCTCCCCAACGCATCTGGATAAAGCATCGGCCGCCTTATTCTCCAAACCAGGCTTATATTGGATCTCAAAATCATAGCCTAATAGTTTTGATAACCACCTCTGATGCTCTTCGGTCACCATCCTTTGCTCTAGCAAATACTTCAAGCTCCTCTGATCAGTCCGTACAATGAAATGTCTTCCCAAGAGATATGGACGCCACTTTTGGATTGCCAAAACAATGGCCATCAGCTCTCTTTCATACACTGACTTTAATCTAGCTCTGGCTGAAAGCACTTGACTGAAGTACGCTACTGGCCTGTGATTCTGCATCAACACCGCCCCCAGCCCATAACCTGAGGCATCTGTCTCTACTACAAAAGCCTGATCAAAGTCTGGTAGAGCTAGAACAGGGACCGTCGTCATGGCCTCTTTCAACCTCTCGAATGCCTGGGTGGCCGCCACTCCCCAACAAAAATTATCCTTCTTCAGCTGCTCAGTCAAAGGCCAGGCAATGGTACTGTATCCCTTCACGAACTTCCTATAGTATCCAGTCAATCCTAGAAAACCCCTCAATTCCCTGAGGTTCCTAGGTAGCGGTCATTTCTGCATTGCCTCAATTTTAGTTTGATCCGCTACTACTCCTTGAGATACCACATGTCCCAAGTATTCCACACTTGCCTGAGCAAAACTGCACTTCTTCAGGTTGGCTTTCAACTGGTGCTCCTGAAGTACTTCCAAAACCACTCTCAAATGCTCCCAGTGCTCCTCCACAGTCTTGTTGTACACCAGGATATCATCGAAAAAGACTAGGACGAACTTCCTAAGGTGCTGCTTGAATACCTGATTCATCAAGGATTGAAATGTTGCTGGAGCGTTAGTCAATCCAAAGGGCATTACCAGAAATTCATAGTGCCCTTCATGAGTCCTGAACGCTGTCTTTGGAACATCAGCCTCCTTCATCCTGATATGGTGGTATCCAGATTTTAGATCTAGCTTAGAGAACATCACTGCACCATGTAGCTCGTCCAATAGCTCATCAATCATAGGAATTGGGAACTTGTCTAGTACAGTGCCTTTATTCAGAGCCCTGTAATCCACACAAAATCTCAAACTCCCGTCCTTCTTCTTGACTAGGATGACTGGACTAGAAAAAGGGCTGTTGCTGGGTCTGATAATCTCTGCCTCCAGCATTTCCCGGATCAGCTTTTCAATCTCATCTTTCTGAATCTGGGGATAGCGGTAAGGGCGGACGCTGATCGGAGTCTCACCTTCTTTCAGAGTAATGGCATGCTCCAACTCTCTTTAAGGAGGTAACCCCTGGGGTGGTTGAAAGACTTCGCTGAACTGGTGTATGAGCGGTTGTACTGCAGAGGGAACATTGCCTTCCTTCTCCAATCTGACTCCTTCCAGGCGGTGTAACTCTACTAAGAAGCCTCCTCCTTCCTCACGAATGGTTCTGATGAGGGATTTGTGAGAAACCCCTGTCTTGGTCAGCCCGGAATCACCCTGAATCGTCCTCTTCCTGCCCCCAACCACCATCTCCATCCTTAGGGTTCCCCAATTGATTTTGGTCTCTCCCAGTGTCTGCAGCCATTTCATCCCAAGGATGACATCCGTACTCCCCAATTCCAAGGGAAGGAAGTCTTCCTTTACCTGGATCCCTTGAATCTTCAATACTACTCCTCGGCAGACACCTCGACCCATCTCCACCTTTCCGGTGCCCATCATTACCTTGTAACCTCCGGTATCCACTAGCTCCATCCCCATCGCATCGACAATCTGGGTGGAAATGAAATTGTGTGTCGCTCCACGGTCTATCAACACCACAACCTCGGGACCAGAGATCTCTCCTTTCACCTTCATAGTGTGACTCGAAGTGAGCCCCACTACTGAGTTCAGAGAGACTTCTGATACATCCAGATGCAACTTCTCATCCTCCTCCACCTCGGGGTCATTTCCACCTCTCTCTTCGTCTTCCTCATCTTCACAAACGAAGAGAACCTGAAGAGATCGGTCCTTGCACCTGTGCCCAGGCATGTACTTCTCATCGCATCTGTAGCACAACCCCTTTGCTCTCTTGTCCTGCATTTCTTTTTCGGTCAGCCTTTTGAATTGTCCCCCATTTCCTCCAAGTCTTTTCCTTGGGTGCTTCCTTCTGACCACCTGGCGCTACCCCTTTGGAGGGTAATACCGCAGTAGTCATCTTGTACGATCCCCCTGAGTAGTTGCCTCGAGCTCCTCTTTCCGATCTCTTCCGATCTTCCACCAATTGTGCAAGCTCCATAGCCTTGCCTAAATTCCTTGGCTCCAACACTCTGACAGCTGTTCGTATCTCAGGTTTGAGCCCCTTCATGAAATTTCCCTCTAGGGCTGATTCTGAGATGTGATCCAAACGGCTCGCTAAGTACTCTTCCCCTTTCAAAATCAGCACCTCGACGCTGAAATTCAGCACCTCGACGCTGATATTCTTCTCTTCTTTCGCCAAAATCTGCACTTCCCTCATATTCCCCCCTCTTGCCTTCAAAATCAGCACCTCGACGCTGAAAAACAGCACCTCGACGATCATGTCCCATGCTCATCTCCTCTCTAGAAAGTGGCTCTAGAGGTGGCATGTCGTCCTCTCCCTCAAGGATCTCTACTGCCGGATTCCTCCCCCGAAGCGGGTTCGGATTTCCTCCTACGCCATGGTCGCCGACAATCTCTCTTGCTTCTGACGCCGTCGGATTCGTCTTCATCTCAAGTAATTTCTTCATCATCTCTTCCATCGCCGCGAACCTCCCTTCCAACCTGTCATTGTTGGTGGAGATTTCCAGGAACTTTCCCTCCAGTTCTGTCTTTAGTTGTCCGAACTCGTCTTCCAATACTTCCAC